CCCCACCCTTAAAAGGAGACACCTCATAAATCCTCAACCAACGTTTCTTGGTTGGAAAATAACCCTTTGAGAGAAAAAGAGTCTTCGCCCAATTCTCCTTTAATTCATTTTGCAAGGTGTGTGCCTCCAGTTTCATTTGGGTAGTCAAAAGAACCCTAAATCCGGGTCAAGGTCAAGAACAATCTCCCATTAACCTAATCCCCGGGGGCGGCATTTGTTCCCCCTAATAAGAAAATTGCCTTCCAATCTAGGCCAAGGTTCCACCATTTTGGTTTGCCGTGTATTTAGTGGCCAAATCCAATTCCAAGCTCCAGATTAAATATCCTTCTGTTTCAAAGGCATAAAGTAATATACCGACGCCTAAATCCATTAATTAGCTAATCTAACTAACATTCCTTAAAAAAGTATGATATTGCAAAAGTTTAATAATGCTTTTTAGGTCAAATGTTTAAATCGCAAATGCTTGCCCAACTTTTTGAAAAATTCAGTACACCTCCCTTTCGTCTCCAATCATTCCACGCATTATGCAATCTCATCATCAAAGTTACATTTAGGGCAATTCCTTGATTATAAAGCTAACATAGTTGTGTGTATTGTAATTTAAATACTTTGCTTCCTCACTCAACCCTCATAATTCCGAAATGCTTAAAGGCTTCGAAACTGAATCTCTTCAAACCGTAGTTACGCCATTTCCTCAGAAACGTATGTATTCTAGAAATTTATTTCCTTGAAACAAAATACATATTATCAAGTAATAAATAGTTTGTTAGTTAGTCTCCAGAAGTTTCCAAGCATTGTCAAGAAACCAAAAGAGATAACACCTGGCTCTTCCTACAACCTCCATTAGCAATAATAAGAAATGCAAGGAATAGATCAAATATCATCGTTTGTCGTTATTGTCTAGATAATATAATAAAAAAAAATCACTTGATGATGTCTTCAGTAGTATGTGTGTTTACTCATTTGCAATTTTTTATCAATCTCGCTGTGCTGAGCCTCAGCAACATCTTGAAATTTACTGCTTGTTGGAGATACGTCTGAGGTATTGCTGAATATTTCTTCTTTTCACTTCGACCCCTTTATATTTCTCATGATGTAAGCCCTACGTTATCATTCGAAATGTACTATTTTTCGAATTAAGGTATGGCACTTTTAGTATGCTTACTGTTGGGAGAAACAGTAGTAAGTAGCAGTGATTTCTTTTTAACGACAACATTTGAAATAAGTTTAATTCGAAATTAAGGTAGCTGAATGTTAGCTATGCTTCTGCTGATAATTTTGTCAATGACAATTCGAATTCCTTCTTGCATAAAAGCACTTCTTCTCTTAAAGTTCAACAAATTGGGATAAAAAGATCGTAGTAAGATCAGCTATTCTCATTCAACTGGTTTCTTAGTTATCGAGGTATTCCAAATTAATTTGATAAATTTAGATCATGATATCCAATATTTCAATTTTCCATTCTTGTTTATATAAATATGCGTTATTATTATTATTATTATTATACTTAGAGCTCTTGAATGTTTAAATTTAAAAAAGATTGTAAGTGTATATATACATCCCTGTTATAGCGATTTGTGATATAATTGACTTTGCAAATACAAGCGGTAGTATCATAATAATATCCAATTACAACCAAAAATGTCTATCGTTCCACAATTGAAGGAAGAATTAAGAAAGGTTGGTACCGGTTATGGTATGATGAGTTTGACTTGGAAGGCTGAACCAGTCCCTGAATCTCAAGCTCAAGATGCTATGTTGAAGGCCATTCAGTTGGCTAAGGCTAACGGTTCAAAGGCTTTCTTTAACGTTGCTGAGTTTTATGGTCCTGACTTTATCAACTTGGTTTATGTTAAGAATTTCTTTACCAAGTATCCTGAATTAAGAAAGGATGTAATTGTCAGTTGTAAAGGTAGTTTTGATGTCCAAAAATTTGTACCATTAGGTAAAGCTGATGATGTCAGAAGAAGTGTTGAAAACTGTGTCAGTGCAATGGGTGGTTTCATTGATATTTTTGAAGTAGCTAGAATTGACACTTCTATTATCCCACCAGGACAAGATTACCCATATGAAACCTTTGAAACATTAGCTGAAATGGTTGAAAATGGTGCAATTGGTGGTATCTCTTTATCTGAAGTAGATGAAAAACAAATTAGAGCTATTGCTAAAGATTGGATTAAGTATTTGACTTGTGTTGAAGTGGAATTATCTTTATTCAGTCCACAAATTTTGTCTAATGGTGTTGCCAAAGCTTGTAGCGATCTAGGCTTAGTTATCATCTGTTACTCCCCATTAGGTAGAGGTTTATTGACCGGAAAATTTACTTCCACAAGTGATATTCCTGCAGGTGACTTCAGATTGGCTTTGAAAAGATTCCAAGGTGACGCCATGAAGCAAAACTTGTTGCTAACTCAATTCTTGGCCTCTGAAATTGTAGCAAAGAGAGATGCTGCTCACCCAATTAATTTGCCACAAGTTGCTTTAGGCTGGATTAAACACTGGAATAAGGAAAAAGAGTTCTCTGGTGCTAAGTTTATTCCAATTCCAAGTGGTTCTTCTGCTGAGAGAGTTACCGAAAACTTTGATGAATCAAGAAGTCAATTGACTGATGAAGAATTCAAGAAGATTTCTGATTTCTTGAAGGATTTCACCACTGTCGGTGATAGATACGAAACTGCCTAATTGGTAATATAAACTAAATTAAATATTGTAAATAACATGGAATTAACTCCTGATTATATAACATTTAGTTCGCAATGAAACATATGAATACCGTTTTAAGCACTTTCCTTATAGGAGTCTGATCTTATCGGCTTAATTAATTAAAAGCCTGCTTCATATTGTCAGGTATCAATTATAGATTTGACTTCGACCTTAAGTGTATAACTGTAAAGAACTGGCCTTGTAAAGAGGTAACCAAACTTTATATGTAGTATTTACTGTCATACTTGGAGTTTTATCACGTGATACATCATAACACACGTACGTTGATAATTGATGAATATCATGAAATATTATAATATGTAAAGAGGACATGGATAGGATTAATAGTAAAGGATAGTATGTTAAAAGAAGAAAAAATTGGTTTAACAAGGGTGTATTCCAGTGCTTCAAGAGTGTTATTTAGTGCTCATAGAAATAGACTATCAAGAGATTTGTAGTTTTCTTTTGTCTGTTTAGTTCCTGGAAAGGTGGATAATAGAACTTGGATAAAGAAAAAAGAAAAATATTGAAGCTAAAAGTCCAACTGAAATGTCCCAATATATCGGTAAGACTATATCATTGATCTCTATTACTGACAACAGATATGTTGGTTTGTTAGAAGAAATCGATTCTGAAAAGGGTACTGTAACTTTAAGAGATGTTCGTTGTTTTGGTACTGAAGGCCGTAAAAATTGGGGTCCTGAAGAAATATATCCAAATCCTAAAGTTTACAATTCAGTTAAATTTAATGGTAATGAAGTTAAAGATTTAAATATTTTGGATGCAAAGCTAGAAGATGTTCAACCAGTTATGCCACCAACTGCTCCAAATGCACAAACTTCACAACCTGCTCAACCAGCAGTAGCTGCTCCTCAAGTCCCTGCCGCTATGGCAGGTTATGGTGTTTATCAACCAAGTGAAGAATCTCAAGCTACTCCGTCAGTTGGTCAAGCCTCCGAAGAAAGACCAAAGGCAGCTGCCAACAACGACTCAAAACAATACCAAAATCAAAACCAACATCAACATCAACATCAACATCAACACCAACACCAACACCAACACCAATATCAAAATCAAAGACGTCAGCAAAGACCCCCACAAAAGATAGAAATCCCAAAAGAAGACTTCGATTTCCAATCAAACAATGCCAAATTTACTAAAGAAGGTGTCGAGGTTCCTGTTGAAGCTGCTGCTGAAGAATTGACTAATGAAAATGAAAATAGTGAAGAAACACAAGAGGCATTTTACAACAAGAAGTCATCATTTTTTGATTCCATCTCTACATCAACCGAAACTAATACTAATATGACATGGACTGAAGAAAAGGAAATGAATTTAGACACCTTTGGTCAAATGTCAGCCAGACCAAGATTCAATTCTAACAGAGGTAACTTCAGAGGCCGTGGTAGAGGCCGTGGAAGAGGAGGTCGTGGTCGTGGCCGTGGTCGTGGTAGAGGTGGTTATAACAATAACCGCGATAACTATAACCAAAGCGGCTCTAATAACTATAATGAAAACTACGGTAGCTATAGAAGTAATGTCGAGTTCTAAAATAGAAGACTGAAAAGTTCATTTCTTGTATTGAAATGGTTCATTTTTTCATTTAAACTAAATAATATTGTATAATTAGTTATGCATCTTAAAATTTTACATCGTGTGGATAACATTTATTTTTTCTACCATCAGCGATGGTGCTTCTTCCCTTATCTCTTTGCATTGATTTCCTCATATCAAAAGCATCTTTATCATCATTTACCTTTTTTAATGTATTTGGATATCCATCTTCACTTGAATTATAGTAACCTATCACCCTTCTATATACACTATATCCTAACTTTTCATAAAGCATAATTGCTAAATCGTTGTTACATTTGACAAACAAATCGATAAAATTAACATTATGAGGATTAGAATCAGTTATAGCCTCTAAAGAGTTACAAAGTCTTGAAGCTAAAGATATTCTACGAAATTCAGATGCTACAGTAACGGCAGTAATATGTGTATGCCATTCATGCGCCTTACCTTCAGTCTTGGCCATCATGTAGCCTGATATGTTATTATTGTTTACTTGGGAGTCAATTGTTGTCTCGAGACTCTTAAAGAATAAATCAGGCCATAATATTAGATACTCCATATAAAATTCTACAGGGAAGTTCTCTGTTAAAATATCGAGATTGATATTATCCAGTTTGAAAAGATCTGTTGCCTCAAAAGGCTGTATTGTACTCATAATTCTATAAATGTGTGCACTTTGGAATACTCTATCCAAACTTTATTTAGTACTTCGTCTATGTATAGAAATGTTTTGAATCATTCATCCTTTTATAGCATGTGTATTATTGATATATACATCTATTTATCTATCTACTAATAATTTTTCACTTTCGAAACAGCGAAAAATATATTGAAAACCTTAAAATGACGTAAATTCATATTTAATAATGTCTAGCATTATACAGTATCTAAATAGTACAAGTTCGTTTGTTTATTTGCCATTGCAGCTATTACATAATTCAATTCAGGTGCAACTTCCAAAGTTTTCACCCTTTGCTCCTTATATTTATCTTGATCTTTTATTAAATTCCAAGATTCACCATTTCTAACATCCATTGCAAAAATACCATTATCTGTGCCGATTATTATTCCCTTCTTCTGAGGTAAGTATTTCATAATAGGTTGTGAATATGAATTTTGGGCAACTTCTGTGGCCATATTCAAAATTACTTTATCGTAAAATGTTTTACCTGAATCAATACCTTTGAGATCATCAAATTTATCAAGTGGAACTGTGGCTAATAAAAGTCTCATATATGGAGTATGAGATGTAGCGACACTTATCATAGTATTTTCTGTCAATATCGTATCACCTAGTTCTGTCGATATTGTATTTAATATCAATACATCTCTAATGTTAAATGCATGTGAGGTGAATTGTGCATCATTTAATGCAATTTGATAAAGTAACGATACACTAAAATTATCAAATGTATAGCATAAAATATGGGTATATTCCGATCTTGTAATGAATATCAAAGGAATTAAAGTATGTTCATCATATTTCAAATGAGATACGTTTATACTCGTTACTTGTGAAGATAATTTGCATTCATTTAACAGTTTAAATTGGAATATTTCATTTACTTTACTTAAGACATGAATTTTAAGGGAGTTATCTAGACCACAAGATATGACAAACCATGAATTACCAATGTCTTTGTAATTATTAATTATTTTTAAATGTGATATCATTCTCATATGAAGTTTATTGTTCTGGCATTCTAAAGATTTGAAATCATTACTAGTATAAAGATAGAAGGTACCATCTATTGAACAAGTATACAATAATCTATCATTATCGATAGAACCACATAATTTTGATATGCTTGGTCTTTCACTAATCAACTCACCAATTTTAGTTAAGTTCTCATCATATATTATAACTTCTTTATCCGAAGTAGATAGCATTAATTGCTTGGTAATATGACAATATTTGGAGTGTATGATTAAACTTGAAGGACAATTTGTCAAGGGAGAAAAATTGAACTGCAATTCAGCATGTTCCCATGAAGGTAAAATTTCCTTCAATGAATCAGATAGTTTAGGCATACTATCATTCAAATTTAAATCATTAAATTTATTTGAAATTAAATGTTCATTATAGTGAAATCTATCTTGAACCAAGTGACGCAATGATTCCTCGCCCATAACTAAATCATTACAAGAATCTACCAAGTTCACAGATAACTCTGCATCCTTAATAAAATCATTCAGAGTTGTATGATAACCTTGATCTTTTAAATATTTGGCAACAAGAACCTTAACGTATCGGTCGATATCTGACATTACAGGTAACTTATAAAACTAGGAACAATCTTCAATATCCAGCCAGTTGGACACTAAAAATGGAATATATATATATGAATGTAGCACACTTCACAATTACTAGCTGTATTGCTTATATATCAAGTGTATTGCTCTTCTCAATCCTATCCTCCTCACTTATTAACATATACGTAAACTTTACTCAAGATTTCTATAGCAAAGATGTAATTTCGAATGATCTAAAGCCCTTGAAAAGATTACAAATTAACCATTTCGAAGTTTTAGATGACTGTTAAGAATCACAACATCCGTACATCAACATCCACCATCCATACACCATTGAAATACAAACTGGAAGTGTATGGCGCGTGATCTGGTTCATGATATCGAATGGAGCGAGTAGAATCAAATCAAAAATTACTAAGAAACCTACCGATGTGTTCTGCTTCTGAGTCCGATTCTGAATCCAAAGAACAGTTTCTGAAAAGGAAAGTTTCATTGAGCTCGTTTCTCCGTTGAACTAGGAATAGATGGCTCATTAATTGTTATGTCCCCATTCCCACCCAGGCAGATACTCTTCACTTTAGTTTTATCCGTCTCTGGCAGACTCTGGCAGTCCGCCGGTGTGCTAGTCTCTCGCCAGAAAGAAAATGTTTAGTCTCTTCCAGCTAGGCAGGCAGACAGAGAAGCAGACAGGACCACCAGTTTATGCTTAGGCTGAGCTAGACCAAGGTCCTTGACGCAAACAATTTCCAATAATTTTTCACTTTGTCTTAGTAAAGAGCTAAGCAGTAATTCAAGCTAGAGATCGATAGCATTGGAAAAATTGTAGTCGTTGCAATTAGACCAGCCCAAGTGATGGCTAGTAGTAGTAAGGTGAAAGTTAGTATAGTATCTATTGATTGGATTTCGAATTATAGAGTGGTTCATTCAGTTTACCACCAATCTATTATCCATCGATCAAAGATGAACTAACTAACATATTGTTATGTACTAAGTGAAATTGGGAAATTATAGAGGCAAGTTTTCGTTGTCTGTCCAGTGTTGATACTGCAATTTAGCTGATAATTGTATTAGGTTTATTGTAGTGAAAAAAAATTACCAGTTATTGATAGTTTGGCTTATATATAAAAACTATTAATCGTGTACCTGTTTAGTTATTTGGTAATATTTAAAGATAACCAAGAACAAATATCATTAACCAAAAATGGGTAAGGGTAAGCCAAGAGGTTTGAATTCCGCAAGAAAGTTGCGTATCCACAGAAGAAACAAGTATGTTATTGCATTTAATAGGATTACAGAGGATTTGGGGATATTTTAAATGATCTTTTATCGAAGTTGTTCCATGATTTGGATTAGTAGGATAAATAATTGGACATTTTTCATATATCAAAGTGGGAAACTGAAAGGTGGGAGTTTCAGTGATTAAAGAAACATAAAGGAGAGGACACATTTACCAGATATTAGGCACCATTTTAAAGAACTGAACAAGGACATGGGTTGAATAAAGATTCAAAATTTGACTATACGAACTGGAATTGCTAATTTGGATCGATGCAGACAGAGGGAGGAGGAAATGAAAACATGAAATTTGAAGTGTATATATAAACATTCAAGGACCAGAGCATTCAAGATTAGATTAAATAGATACAAATCAAGAGAAATTAAACCCGGTGCTATTTAAAATATGAAACTACATGATAATAAAGATATCTCTCTACCTTTTTTCACCAAGTACATTCTTTTTTTACTAACAATTTCATCATCATCTTTATGATTTATTTTATTACAGTCGTTGGGCCGAAAAGACCTACAAGAAGAGATTATTGGGTACTGCTTTCAAATCTTCTCCATTCGGTGGTTCTTCTCACGCTAAAGGTATCGTTTTAGAAAAGATTGGTATCGAATCTAAACAACCAAACTCTGCTATCAGAAAGTGTGTCAGAGTTCAATTGATCAAGAACGGTAAGAAGGTTACTGCTTTCGTTCCAAACGATGGTTGTTTGAACTTCGTCGATGAAAATGACGAAGTCTTGTTAGCTGGTTTCGGTAACAAAGGTAAGGCTAAGGGTGATATTCCAGGTGTCAGATTCAAGGTCGTTAAGGTCTCTGGTGTCTCTTTATTAGCTTTGTGGAAGGAAAAGAAGGAAAAGCCAAGATCCTAATCGGTTTATTATTTACAATTGGTTTTTTCCCATTTTATATATATATATAAACTGTAATTTTTCAAAAAATATACTGAAAAATTAATGTCACAAGTATTATAATATATCAAATATTTTATTTGTCTTTAATTTCATAAAGTAAAGAAATACACAATATTATTAATTATTAACAATTTTAATTTGAATTCCTTTTTCATTAGATTTTTATTCATATATATATATAAATTATTAAACTAAAATATTTTTACACATAAAACTATTTTTATTTAGCTTTCTTGGACTTATTCAACCTGGAGGTCAATCTCTTATACATCTCACTATTATTTAAAGTGGATCCGACACCTGTAGATCTTGCATTAGTTGATACCATGCCAACGTTACTAACAGGAGCAAATTTATAATCGGTGGTGGTTTGAGCTGGTGCAGCAGCCCTACCTCTTCTAGCAGCGGCTTGCTCATATAGACTTTGGGCTGAGGATCCCTTAGATTTCTTAGCTGTACTGCCATCATCTGACTTCTTCTTCTTTCTGTTCTTCGCAGAATCTAATGCAGCCTTCTTTCTAAATCTTTCAGCATCGAATTCCAATTGCATGATTCTTTTATCTCTATAATTATCAGATGCGCCAATGATTGGTCTTGTCCATTCAGCTATAAGTCTTTCCGCTAATCTAGCTAATTGAGGTTCCACACGTTTGGATTTAGTATAGAAGATGAGCACTCTACCTAAACCACTTTCTTTTAAATGTTCAGTCTTTATCGGTAATTTATCTAATGCAGAAAATAATGATTTTTGAATCTCAAATGATGGCAATGATCCATCTGGCAATGGTTCCAACCAAATTCTAACACTTTGTAATAAATTATTATCTAAAATGGTGTCCGCCAAATTAGCCTTTGACAAGACATCAATAACCTTAGGTAATAATTTGACTTTTTGCATAGCAAATAAAGCCTTGTCGTTGGTTTCGATTCTCTTGTTTAAAGTTTCAATATCTAATTGAGCTGCAACGTTCATTTCATCCTTTAATCGTAATATTTTTTCATCTAAATATTGCTCTAAATCATCTTCATCTTTTCTAGTTCTTCTAACTTTTGGCTTCTTCAACAAACGATCTAATTTCTCTTCCAATTCTCTACGACTTCTAGTCGATGAATCTAACTCTATTTCACCATCTGCGGATGGTGGTAAAGTTTTAATATTGTCAAGAGTATTGTTAACAACCCCAACAGCGTTATCTTCATTATCTGAATCAGAAGCTTCAATATGTTTACGTTTTCTTTCAAGATGCCCATCTACATCTTGCTCGTCTCTAATCCCATCTTCAAAATCATCACCTCCATTTAAAACTTCACTGCTCTCATCCTTATCACCAGAAGAAGATGTATCCACTGCTGCTACTGCTGCTGCTGCTACTGCCACCACATCTCCTCCTTCTTGAGGAGGTACCTCAGCATTAACACCATTTTCAAGCATATCACTAACCCCTTGAGTATCCATAACGTCTCTACCAATAGATCAGATATCCTTAGTTCCCTTCAACTTTTAAAAAATATACAAATCACGAACTCTCTGTTAAAAACAACACCAACCAACCTTTTATTTAAACATCCATTTCTATCTTAAACCTCTGGTTCTCTTGATATCAAAATTTCAAACTACTTCGAAAAACTTTCCTTATGCCGGTGAATTTGTCAATATAATAAATAATTTCAACAATCTGAAAACAGAGGAGATATTTAAAGATTGTAAGTTTTAAGTTAACTTGATTGTTTGATGGTTTGGAGTTGATTAGTCTTATTTGTTAGATAAGTAGTTATCTAGAAGTATAGAGTTAATATACGTTAATATTTGAAATGTTTGGACTACCACAAGGAGAACCTTCTGCTGAAGAAAAGAAGCAACATCAAGATCAAACTAATGCTACTGTAAGAAACGCTGCTTACGCAGCTATCTTTTTATGGGTTTCTCCTATGGTTTGGCATTTTGTTCAGAAGCAATGGAAATAGATAGGATGTCATATCTTTGTTTCTTCTGATTTGATCCTTCTATAATCATTGGTATCTTTTTATATATATTGAACATACACTCTCGACCTGTAGATTAGGTGAGGCAAAGAAAGAGTGAATAAAGAAGGTTCCTAGTTTTTTACAAGTATTTTTATATAGTAAATAGGTTCTAGTATATCTCTGTATTGATATTTAATGCTACAATGATTCATGTAAATAAATGAAAATAAAATTCTGATTTCATGTTTTAACTCTAGTTTAATCAAGTAATATAAAATTTCAAAATTTAGTAGTCACTAACTAGAATTTACTTACCAAGATAGATTAATGCTAATTGTATAGAAACCAGGTACCTATTTAACGTCTGTTGAGTATGTCAAAATTAATACATAAAATACAACAACTTCACCAAGTCTTTTAACCGAAGATGGAATAGAATACCCTAGACGATCTGATTTAGGTGAACATTTTATAATTCACTTACTGATGTGACAAATTAAGTAGATTTGGAAGATTAGTTTAGTCAAGTTAAACTCTAAATGGGGTTCAACCTAATTGCGTTTCAGAGAAATAACTTTGAAAGAGTTTAGCCATATTTGAAGTACTTAGAATATTATACCATGAACAATTTTATATAATCTATGAAAATTATTTCGGCTCTGATAGTGAATGTCTTGAAGTAGCAAATATTATACTGACTCATAGTGACAATAATATCTTCCATATGATATAGACACACTTGAACAACTTGATGATATGTGAGGAAAAAATAATAATTTCATAACTATTTGTCACTGGTGCCATATAATTATCTTCAATTTACCACTATTTTGCTAAAAAGAAGATATCTATAATGACACTTAGCAAGATTACGCCAATTTGATATCAAGACAACTTGAACTTCATGCTCCACTTACTCAACCTAAGTCTCGAGGTCTGTATAACTTATGAAGTGACACCACAGCTTACTTGAATGAAGCCAACCTAAAAGGTAAGACCATTAAAAATATCTAATATCATTATCAAATTTACACACCTAATTAAGTAACATTTGACAAGTTGTCCACAAGTCATATCGTACTATCATCTACAAGAAAGATCTGAAGAGGTGACCTAGTGTCAGAAACCTAATCATAATTTCGAAATTGCGTATATTATTATTTCCAGATTTAGTTTAATTTAATTTCGATGAGATACCCTCTGTAGTTATTCTTGTAGTTGCAGTTGTAGTTGTAGTTGTAGTTGTAGTTGTAGTTGTCGATGTTGTTGTTGTAGTAGTTATTTTGCTTCTTTACCTCACATTTACTTGTTCTTGCAATATCAATACTGCATTTAGTTAATTCCGACGGTGAACTAATTTGCGTTTCTTTTTATGGAATGGTTGTGTGAAGCATTATTGTCTTTTTTCCCGACGGAGAATTGGAGAAAAGAAAAAAACATCTCTTTATTCACAAAATATGGACATAAATTTTTCACCTCATCGACTATATAAAGAAAATGAAAAATTTCAATGAGATGAGATTGAACAATTTTAAAAGTAGATTATATCTTTTATTATTGATCTTTTTTTTTCTAAATGGTCCATTTCTGATTCTTGTAATAGAAAATCAGTGATCACTTGTCATAATTCATTAGTTTTTGTTCATTTTCATAGCAAAATTAATCAATTGACTAAAAAATAACGATAGTACTTAGTATAATATATAATGTCTACTGAGCCATTCAAGAACGTTTCTTTAATTGCACAAAGCAACCAATTATTGGGTTTGTACACTATAATCAGAGATAAAAATACATCTAGACCAGATTTTATTTTTTACTCTGACAGAATTATCAGATTATTGGTTGAAGAAGGTCTAAATCATTTGCCAGTTAAGGAAACAATCGTTGAAACTGAGACTAATGAAAAGTTTGACGGTGTTTCCTTCATGGGTAAGATCTGTGGTGTTTCAATTGTCAGAGCCGGTGAATCAATGGAACAAGGTCTAAGAGACTGTTGCAGATCAGTCCGTATTGGTAAGATTTTGATTCAAAGAGATGAAGAAACTGCCTTACCAAAATTATTCTATGAAAAGTTACCTGATGACATTTCAGAAAGATATGTCTTCTTGTTGGATCCAATGTTGGCAACCGGTGGTAGTGCTATCATGGCTACCGATGTGTTGATCAAACGTGGTGTCAAGCCAGAAAGAATATTCTTCCTAAATTTGATCTGTAGCAAAGAAGGTATTGACAAATATCACGCAGCTTTCCCAGATGTCAGAATTGTTACTGGTGCTGTTGATAAAGGTTTGGACGAAAACAAATACCTAATTCCAGGTTTAGGTGACTTCGGTGATAGATACTACTGTATTTAAGCCAACTTTGTACTAAAGTAAATTCATTAGCATTACTGTGTAGTTGATATATATATATTTAAATATTTTTTTACATTGTTTTAATCATAATAAGCATTTTTAGCATTTCTCTATAAACAGCGTACGTTTTATGTATTCGTTATTTTTTTTATATTTTATCAATAAAAGAATTATTTCACAGTGTATGGCAGGTTCAATTTCTTAGCTAAACATTTATTTCTCCCTCAATAATTTTTATTTCACCAATATTTTTTATAGAAGGTCAATATATGATTATTTGATACTTTAAATTATAATCAATTTACCCAAGTTATTGAATTTCAACTATTCTTCCGAGTTTAACTAAGGCAATATTTACTTTAACTTACCTATTATTTAGATCAATAAGTCCCTAAATGATCAATTTTTCTTTCTGTCACCAGAGGAAAGATCAAGAAGTGAAAGATATCAGAATTAAAAAAAGTCAAAAAACAAAGAATCAAAATTTACAGCCCATATCCAAGGAACTATTATGGTTGTGTTAGAGGAACTTGAAAACCTGTATTAGTTTTTGAAATACATACAAGGATAAGCCAAAATATGTAATTTTATTTTATTAATAAGAAAGTTGAAAATTCTTCTTATCAAGATAGACCAACAATCTGTTTGACTTAAAATAAATCTAAGGTTTCAATTGCCATAAAAATTTTAAACTAAGATTTCTTCACAGTATTCTTAAATATAATATTAAGTAATAGGGGATTAGTGCTTTATGATACAAGGTCCAAAAAAAAAAAATGAATTGTGGGATTCTAATTTAAAATATAAATTCGATTCAAGAGATCAAACCCAGAAATATTGATACAAATTAACCGCGTTCATTAACTACTTGAATTCTAATTTCTGTTGCAATAAAATAACCCTGTTTCAAATAATTTGGGGCATGTCAGTAAATTATACCAGTCCAATGTACTTATTAAATACGTACCAATAGTAGACTTGATTAATTTAACAAATTTTAATAGAATACATTAATAAAATTTTCTAATTAGAAGATATTTGAAGGACAACTTCATGTGCTTTATAAACCAATATCCCACCCGATGAGGAGAAGAATTGGAAGATACAATGACGCTGCTAATAAAATTAATCTTATAGTTCGAATATAAAACTAAAACACTGTTTGTATTCAAATAAAACTTTCTGTATATTGACTATCTTATATTGGTACATACTTGTTATTCTACTTAATTTTCAATTAAAATACTACTTATGGTTATCTTATTAGAGTTTGTCAAAATGTTTCAAATTGTTCTCCGAAGATTTCGCTGCAACCTCACAATGGGACATGTAAACTTCCTAAAAAGGTAATTACATGGCATGAATCGTATTGTAACAATAATAGAATAGTATATCATTTAATTGTTCAATCTTGATAACTATTGTTTCAATTTATAAGTTCATGTAACTTTTAATCAAGATAATATGCTGTTTCAAATGTAATTGGATCATAACCTCATTTTTGGCATGATATTATTTTTTAAGAGTTGATAGTTATTGGTTCATGACACTGGGCATCACAATAAGCCAAATGAAACATAAATTAAATTCTTATAGTTTGTAATAAAACTAACGATTATATTTGAAGTAACATTATGATTTGTATTTTTCAAAAGTATATAAACAGGACATATTTCAAGATTAAGAACATTCGATAACTTATTCCTTATTCTAATTATAATTTATAATAATAAAAAACCATCATCCAAACAATCAAAACTTCAATCTAATAACAATCCAATCAAAAATGCAATCAACTACTTACGCCGCTCAAAAGAACTCTTCTGAAAAGAAAGATAACTATATTGTTAAGGGCTGGTTCTGGGATCCAGAATGTGTTATTGTCTAATCACAGTGACATTCACTGGTATTTACTTTTTTCTGCTATATGAATAGTTATTATCCCATTAGTAATAACGAGTTTATAGTTCTTTTTTATTCTTTTTCACTTTTTAGAAACAGTTACTTCAGGAATGTTTGAATTAGTCGACTTTAAGGTTCACATTCTCTTTATACAATAATATATATATATAATTTAATAAATCTCGAGTTTTAAACAAAGATTATATTTCTTAATAATTAAAATGAAATGATCAAAATTGAGTAAAGATACCGTTATGCCAAATAATGATGTCAATTTACTGTTATTGTTCAGCGGCTTCACTAAATCGATCATTGGTGAAATTGAATCAATATTTTTTGACGGAGCGCCGGTGAGAGCTATTCTTAAAGTAAGATAAAATGCAAGATAAAAGTAGATTTAAATCTGAATATGCGTCTATAAGCTAAATAAGACCTTTACTAAAAGTGTAAACCAGTAATATTTTAAAATTTATTTTCTTCGATCCTGTCTTGTAATATTTCATCCTAATGTTTCATATTTTGCAATTAGTCTAGTTAAATGACACGTTTTGGATTGTAATTGCACTACTAAATAATTACATGAATAAAAATATAATATAAGAAAAATCGATGCCAATATTTTACCCAATTAGATGGTACTAAATCAATTAAAGGTTTATTTTAGGAAATATTATGAACCATAGACTCCTCACTTTGAGACGAAATGTTTCATAAAACCTAACTTTAAATTAAGATCAAGAACACCCCAAAAGTAGTAAAGTTGTTTCATAAATTCATGTAATATCTATTTCAGGCAATTACATGAATCAAATATTAAAGATTTTACAACTGTGCAAAACTGATCATATAGGTATTGAAGGCTAAGAGACTTTATTAATATTTTAAAAGTATATAAACAGGTAATATTTCAAGATTAAGAATATTTGATAACTTATTCTAATTATAATTTATAATAATAAAAAACCATCATCCAAACAATCAAAACTTCAATCTAACAATAATCCAACCAAAAATGCAATCAACTACTTACGCCGCTCAAAAGAACTCTTCTGAAAAGAAAGATAACTACATTGTTAAGGGCTGGTTCTGGGATCCAGAATGTGTTATTGCTTAAAAGAACTCGATTGAAGTTAATAACAATACCCAAATTTTAACTCCTAACTATCCATAATTGAAGTATTGGTCTCCCATTTTTAATCCAATTTTCTATTATTTTTAATTTCAGTTCTTTTTTTATCCTTTATTTAGACATTATTTTTTATAACTATATACCTTTTTTACCTTTTTAATATATCGCGATATTCATTAAAGTCATTTAGTATTTTATTTCATTTTTATTTTAACTGTAACAAATTGTTATGAAAAATTTGTTTGTCATGACAATAAGTAGCCCCAAATCTACATTTGTCTTTTAAAAGTACATAATTAGCTTAATTTTCTTGTCGATTGTTCAATTCCAATGTTGAATCTATATCTGGTTTAGTATCTGAAAAAGAAACGAAAACTAAATGAATTTTCATGTCTTTGAATATGCTACAGGTATATAATACCCAGATACTCAGAACCCATTGTTCTTGGGGTCAGCTTCCCATTAATTTCATTATATTTTATTTTTGTTTACTGTTTCATATTGTACCTCATATTTTTATTATTATGTTTAAGTTTCAGCATGTAAATTTCCTAATTCGGTAATTACATGGCAGTCATTGATACCGTCGCTTGTACGGTCGCTACCAAAAATAAACAAAGATTCCAAACAGTAGTCATTGAGAAGTTCACATGTTAATGAAGTAATTTAATGGTTGTGTGGATCATGTTTCAAAAGTAATGGGGTCATAGTAATATTTCTAATATTTGTCAATAATATAATATTATTGTTTCAAAACAAGTCACCTCAATAACATTGTGAAGTTGAGGAACAGCATTTAGACGCCTTTGGGAAACGAAAAGAGCCAATAAAAATGTTACAATGTCCCATGTAACTACCAAATTAGGTAGTTACATAGTAATATTTTGTAGTTTCTACCTATAGCTGTGTATTATGGATCTAAAAAAAATTGTTTTTGAGTTGTCACTTCTTTGAGAATAATAACGTCTTGATTTAAAAAAAGCAAAAAACAAAAAGTATATAAACAGGTAATATTTCAAGATTAAGAACATTTGATAACTTATTCTAATTATAATTTATAATAATAAAAAACCATCATCCAAACAATCAAAACTTCAATCTAATAACAATCCAATCAAAAATGCAATCAACTACTTACGCCGCTCAAAAGAACTCCTCTGAAAAGAAAGATAACTACATTGTTAAGGGCTGGTTCTGGGATCCAGAATGTGTTATTGTTTAAATAACACAAACATAAGAACTTTTAATTCGATTCTACAGTAGAATTTACTATTTTACATCATTATAATTTATGTTCGTTCGTTTCTGTTATTGAATAACACCAAACCTTTTTCTGATCTAAAATACCTATACATTCATTTCAAAATATATACAAATAAATTTACATATCAATTCCCAAAATACAAATACCATATATATAACATATATTATTTATTTTAAAGCATATATTTAAATTATTAAAAATCATAATTTTATGTCTTTTTTAATTCGCTTTACTATGTACAACAAGTATTAAAATGTTCAATAGGAAACCTATAAAAATGACAGTTCAAGAAATCAAACTTTGATTAAAAATGACTTTTATTAATGTGTTATTTTATAGAACTAAATTCTTTTATATTTGATTGTAGAAACAATACAGATCTACTAATGTATGTGAATATTTGAATATATAAATGTGAATGAGATAATGAAGGACAATAAATAAGGAATATTAAAACTTGTGTGAATTATGCAATTATCTTTTTTTTGTAGGACTTTTTTCCGAAATAAGGCTTTAACTCTGAATAACCAACAACAAATGACTGCAAATAGTGATTCTTAATTTTTCTTTTTTCTGAGCTTGTTACATTTGTATGATTATCTTCTGCATTTTCGAAATTTTGTACACTGGCATCATCACCATAATATATTGGTGAGAAATTTCTTTCATTTTTTTGTAAATCAGTAACTTTACAGATGGCTTTTCCAACCCATTTGGTATCATCTGTCAAACTTTTCACACATCTTAAAGTGTCTCTGATATAACGATGTCTTGGTATGGCTCGTATTAGAGGGTTCCATTTTTTATCACATGAGTCGTTATCCAAAAATGAAAGCGCACTTGTAACTGAAAGCGCACGATTACGGTAACCACTGACAACATCGCTGCTGAGAGATTCTGTACCACTTAACATCGACCTGTCATCAAGAGAAAGATTTCTTGACATGCCTGTAGATGAAATGTTTACCGGAACAGAAACAGGATCTATAAATGAACCATTGTTTTCAGCAATATACTGCAAATGGTGGGTACCTTCAGTTTCGGTAGATGTTGGTTTCCTTATACAGTCCTTTGGAACTGAGCCGGTGCTGCTTGTTACGGATATTATCGAATGCCTTGGTCCATGTAAACTGTTCGTTGCAGAATTTCTTCTTGGGGCAGGTGGATTATATGTTGGAAAGGAATACGTATCCAAAGACAGATCCAAATTTTCATATAATGGCGCATCGAAATGTGATCTTGGTATTTCAGTATGGGAGTTTACTGTAACTTTATTCATCAAAGATCTTTGTGGGCTATTCTGGATTTGAACACCAGTATCAGAAAGATCTGACCCCTGTCTAAAACGAGCAGTTTGTGGGAAAGAATTCACTTCTAAATCACTAGGGGTAGTGTCTGGGATAACATTTATCTCAACGGTGTCTCTTTTCCTAAATGATTTTGGTTTGGCAGATGGTACAGTTCCTTCGGAAGATGAGTTACTTGTTGTTTTGAAAAGAGTTTTCAACTTTGACTTTAAACTGGGTTGTTGTTGGGGGGTATGTAGATGATCAATTGACATTCTACGTTGTGATGAGTCTGTGGAGACAAACGAAACTGGAATGGAATTGTCATACATTTGATTGGAAAGATACGATCTTGAGTTTGTTGAATTTATACTTGTGATTGTATTTGCACGTGATCTTTGTGGTAAAGAGGAATACATATCCGAATGTGATGACACCGTGCTGTATCTTCTAGACATCATTAACGAGTCATCCGAAATTGGAATATCATGACTATTTATGGAAGGATTATTTAGTGTATCTGTCGTATTAGCCGAGCTGTTGGCTGTATTAACAGTGGCTGAAGTTGAAGAAACACTTTCTGTTCTTGAACGTCTTGGTACAACTCTATAATCTGGCATTTCTCTGTCGTATAGGTCTAGTGAAATACCGATACCAATTTGTAAATACATTATCCAATCAATGACATCATCAATATGAGGGAAGTTTATCAGTATTTGCTCACCTTCTAATCTTAGACGTAAACCGCTAAACATAAATGGCATATCTGTCGGTATTCCTAAAACCCCATACTGTAGGGAATAACTTTTATAAAGGTATTCATATTTTAAATACCTTGGTTTATGCAAAGTGACTTCATTGCAAATATGATCTTGGTCACGTTTGTTAAAATGATATGTATAGTTACCTGTTTTTGAGCTTGATCCAAATCCAAAGACATTCCATGGTTTCGAACCTGCGTTACGGTCTCTGCAAGGGGTCACACTACTTTCACCTTTGCCTTCTGCACCACCATCGGCATTACAATAACCACTTATACCCGAGTATAACTCTTCATGTATATAATAAAAATTTAATTGAGTTGAATTCAATTCTAAAATGTAATTACGCCAAACAGGAGTTGGATTGCGCTCATATGGTGAGCTCCATTCTTCTTTTAAAGAAACAACCGTGACTTTATCAAGAGCTGGTTCATATGGAGGAGGTAACTGATTGGGAAGGCAAGGTTCTAGATGTTCATAAATTGGGAAACGTACCAAAGTGTTTGGATTCACGTCACGATATGAAGGACAGGAAACTGGTTTGGGTTCCAAATACAACATAATATCGGTGACCTCAGGATCATGTTGAAATTCTTTTTGAGATGCAAATAGAGAAGGTTGGTGAAATGTTTGTTGAAAATGTAAAGCAGGCGACACTTCACCATCGTTAACAGTACTAGGTGTGTAAGCACCTAAATCTTCTTCAGGAGTTACCAACCTTGAGAGAGCTGGGTTTGTATAGACGTAGCTGCTATCATCATTTATAGCTGTGATCGTTGAGAAGGAACTGTTGATATTATTATTTTTGGATTCATCCACACTTGAAGCGGCACTGGAAGATGCTGATTGAATGCTTAATAGTTTAGTATGATTATGGTCTGTTGTCACCAATGGTTCATTAAACATTAAACTTGTACTCATGATGAAAAATGTGTGTGTATATTGAATATTATGATAACTTTATTTTTTTAATATGCTAGAGTGGAGGCTATGAATGTTTGAATGAAATTATATATATATTTTGTTATTGGACTGAGAGACACTTTACAGACACACTTACGCACAATTCGATCGATCGAGATAATATATATATATAAGATATATATATATAAAGAGGTGAGTGTGTTTTGCCAGTATTGAAATTCCAATAATACTTTAAAAATAGTACTGTGGGGAGTGTGTCGAAGATATATGTGAATGTGAATTACAAAAGGCTGCTAATTAAATAGGAAACTGAGTTGGAGTTAGCATGCACATATATAGCCGTGTTGGATACTTTTTAAACAAGATAAAAAGATGATAACAAGAAATTTCAGAATTTAATATACAAATAAGCTCAAAATAAAACGTAACTCTTCCATCTCTGTTCTAAAATTAATATTTTTACAAAATTTGTGAAAAATTGACAAGTTATCATTATCCTAAACTACTTATATATGTTAGACCAACTTTCATTAGGCTGCCTTTTGGGTATTTTGAAAAATGTAAGTAGTCTATTCTATTCTATTATAGCTTATCAGAGACTAGAATAAAAGAAAGGAAACAACAGAATAGAGAGAGAACCATACAAGACAACTACAGAAAAAAAACAACCTTGAAATTTTTCATTGATTCGAACTAGCCTTTATTTTAGAAACACATGTATAAGAGCTAGTTGTGTCTCAATAAGGTATGTTATGGCCCTGGTTTCCCTTTTAACAGGCCAATAGGTAAATACCCCATATACAATATTGTAATTGGCCTTGACTGAAAAAAAAAAAAAAAATTTAAAACTCAGAATAGAGAGAGTCAGCTACAGATATACATTACATATTGGTTAAAGCAACGAGAGTGCGAGTGAGAGTGCGAGTGAGAGTGAAAGTGAGAGTGAAAGTGAGAGTGAAAGTGAGAGTAAGAGTATGAGTATAGCAATTGAAACGGGATGTACGTCCAATCAGTATCCAACCTCAACCCCCCCGAAACATGAACATACCAACCAACCAACCTTGTTTTAGCAGGTTTCAAGAAGACTAGAAAGTTAGTCTAATCTAAGAGATATCATAATTGTATGTATATCGCTTGTGAAGGAAGGGAGAGAGAGAGTGTGTGTGTGTGTATCGATATACATTGAAGGATAAAGTGTAAAGTGATAGAGAAAGGACCTAAATATATGGATAACACCATACAAACAGAATAGAGGGATGTTGTCCCATAAGAAACGACACCTGAGAGTGCCATTTTAAGTTTCTTGTTTCTGGTTTCTCTTACGGGATGAGATGGGATGGGATGGGATGGGATGGGACGAAATATCTTCAAGTCTCGCCAGGTATATACGCCAACGCTCCCATTCAGGATAACAGGAGCAGAACAAACCGAGAGATGAGCTGTTTTACCAAATTTAATTCAATACTTTTCAGTTCTTGTTCTTGTTCTTGATCCCCATTTTGATTCTGTTGTATGTGAGTTTGTATGTGTGTGTGCCAGGACTCAAGAACCCACTTGCGGTAGATTATTATTACTGCAACAGGATCAGTAGCCTCAAGTGCAAAAATACGTTGTTTAAACATGCCTGGTTCTGCTCATTATAGTGATACAATTGTCATTATAGTTGTAATTGTAAATTTATCATTGGGGAGAGTTTGCGGTTCTCCTGTTCGGTACTGAAACAAGCGTTTTGCTCAATAAAATGTACAAATGTGAACTAAAAAAAGAAAGTTCGGGAATTGGATATTTTGATGTGCCACAGCTTACTGGCTGGACAGGCTGTGTAATGTTCCCGAGAACCGACCGAGTTGGGATGGTACTGAACTTTGGAGATACTGCGTGGGGGGTGTCTGTGGTCTTGCTATCCCTTGGACTCGTCTCCTATTGGTCAAGTGACGCACTGCAGTGGTGGTATACTTTCTGAGAGAACGGTGTGTGCAGTAATAAAGTAGCACGCAAATACAAATGCAGATGCAGATGCAGATGCAAAAGAAAAAGCATTGGATGGTTGTTTCTTTTTCTGTGGTAGTGTAGGTTATAACACTCTTGGCTATGTCTTGTGTTACTCTGTTCTACCTTCCCTTCTCTATATCCGGTCTTTAGTTTGCCTGTACGTAAATGCGTGTATATACGTATGTACGGTAATACGCACAAGATAATGTGTGCGTCTGTTTTTCAGTATTCACGAACATTTATTTTTGCGTTGAAATGGTCAGACTAACTGGTGAAGCACCGTAGCCGAAATCCGGGGAAGGAGCTCCCCCATTTCTTGAGCCAGTTCTCCGGATCAAGGAAAACCGCGATTTGGCGATAACTGCAGTGTCTTTCAATATGTGTATGAGAGAGAGAGAAAGGGAGAAAGAGGTTGGGTGTTGGTATTCTCCGGTGAATTATCTGGTTCTGAGTTCTGCAGTAATTTTCCTTTCTAACGTGCTGCTGCTAGGTTTTGGCCAAACTCGAAGGGGGAATTGGGGTTGGGCTATTTGGTGGGGAGGAGGAGGGGGGTACGGAGGTTAGGTAGGCTCCGCATTCAGCAAAGGGCAAGAAATCTCGTTTTGGATATCATTTTACTCAAAAGTGTCGGTCATGTGCTTAGGGTTTAAATGGATTATGAATTTTGGGTTTGGCTTCAGGCCCTATCACAAGGTTTTTGTGACGTTTTGTGAATTTAAAAACCTTAGTATCACATAATTTGTCTATAAATAATGTGATATTGCTATGTGCTGAAAGAGGCTCTCAGCCAATTGCTAATAGGGCTTATAAACATTTGGCTTTGCCAGGTTCCTGACGATCACACAGATACTTTGGATTCTGACCTTTGGAGAGATCTGGGTGAATAGCTAATAGAAATAAATCACAGTCTTGTGCCAGTGTGGACATCACTTCGTGAAATGTCATAACTAGGGTTTTCATATCACATGCTTTGCACGTGTCACTGTTTAACTTCCGTTTTTATTTTATTCAAATCCCAGATAACAACTGCACCCCCCTTCTCCCTCCCCCCGACCAATATATCCGACGGGATAGCCCCTGCTACGTAATGGTTTTATTTTCTTTTTTTTTCCTGTAGATTTATTGGACTATTGATCAGATAGGCAATTTTTTAAAAGTCCAGTCATCCACCTACAGCTACGGGTTTCCCCTAGAATGGATCCGTGTCCCCCCCATTGAAACTACCAATCGAAGAAATTTTGTTTTCGTTTCTTTTTCTTTTCCACTTTTGAGAGTCGTCATGATCTTTCAGATCATAAATGGCAAGCATTTCCCGGTTCGATTCCTGGCGGATCAAGTCTAGATTTTTGCAACCGTTGGTTTATTTTTATTTCAATGTACTTACTTACTATGGACAATAATGATCAATTACGTACAGTACTAATACAAAGTTACCAGATTAGATTGTGATAAGTTGAATTAATTACTATTGAGCTGGTGTTGTCAAGCAACGTAGAAATGCTGTGATCTAATCAGAATGATTTAAAGCTATGCTATGCTGTTTCTATGTATGTATCTACTCGATAGATTCAGAAAAAATATTATATATGCTTGTACGTAAGTGTGCTTCCTTGGAATTGGATGAGCACTTGCTTGAATTAATTATGTTTTTTTTTGTAATGGTAACAGATGGTTACTACTTCTCTCTTGGATATCATTAATTGAGACAGTCGAGATTCGTTTACCATCAATTCGAGGAGGTTATCCGTTCTTGTACGGGGCAAGAGGGTGATGGGGGTGGGGTCGAAATTGTTTGTAAATGGGAAAAACAGATGATTTTGGAAAATAAATCAACGAATGTTTCATATCTCAACCTTTGCTAAAACTGTTTTCCGGCGCTAGCCATTTCAAAACAGACCAGGAATGCTCGACGAGCTGTCAAGGCTCTGACCTATCATTTGATGCATTCCTTTGTATCTGCGCACTGTAGCGATGGTAAAGCAGAGCAAAAAGAAAAACCCGGCTGCAAATAAATATACCGTTCCCCCAAATCCATACATGAAATATATCATCACGGTTGTGCCCTTAACCCACATTTTATAACTTTGCAACAATATCCATTTCAATATATGTACAAAATTATCTCCAGTACCTGAACTTGTTGCCCCATTAGCGGTGGTAATAATCTCATGGTACATCTGTTTCATCAAAGGCGACGAGTAAAACACCACTATATTATGAAATTTTCCTAATAAACCCAACGATCCCTCCTTGTAGATCATGAAAGACGCGCCATCATCACTAAATATTCGAATATGACGTATGTATACCAACATGTCTTGAATAAAATCATTCTCTGAAAATGTCATCGAACTAAACCCACTTCTTAAAATATTATACATTGAAAATGGGAATAGCAACAATAAGACAAAATAATCAAGAACCAATAGGTTTCGTAGAAACACTCTTAATATTGGTCTCCTTTGCAAATTGAAAGGTGTCCTTCTTTCATCATTATTGCCATTTGCAACGACATCAACACCGGTATTATTATTATTGTTAATACTACTATCACTAGCACTGTTATTGGTAATATTGGTATTACCGTTCGAAGTTGTGCTTGTACTCGTATGAGTACTTACATTGGCAACAAATCCACCATTACTATTAACACCATTAAAACTCAACCTCCGTCTACGTTGATTTTGAGATACCTCATGCTCAATTTCTTGTAATATACCATTCAACGTCTCTTGCAACTCTTCTTGTAACTCTTCCTGAGTCTGTTGAGTCTCTTGTCGTTGCTCAACGTTATGCTGTCTTGCAGACTCTTCAACGAATCTTTCATATAACTCGTCATCGTTCATCTTGTCTAAATATCTTAAAATCTTCAAAAATTGTCGACCTATTAGCGATCAACAAACAATATCAATCCAAAAACCGAACCTACTTAAAATGAACTTATTAATTCATTAATTCATCTATATATATATATATGTACATGTATACTAATCCCTTTCGTTTCGATGGATCCCTTACTATATTCCTGATCCTTTCCTTTGAAATTTTTGATAAAAGGGTTTCGGATTTATCCCGTAAAGGATTTCTTACAACGCAGCTTCTTCTGGTAGGCTCCTTGTCGTACAAACTAACTTAACTGACATTGTAGGTAAAGAATACCTACTATTTAACATTAACAACACATTATCATATCTTTAAACACTATTTAAACTTATACACATCCTATATTTTTCATATTCATATTCATATCCTTTAAATACATGCTTCTTTTGTAGTTCTTATATTTCTGGGTTTAATATGAAGTCACAGAAGTATTTGATGCTTGCATATGTCTCTTTTCCGACTGGTCTTATGTATGTCGCTGGTAATAGGAATCCATGGTTCCCAGTGTCTCTTAATTTCAATTGGAATGCCCAGTGAGCTCTGTGATGGTACATGTAATCTAGAGCTGATCCAGAACCCAATCCTGGGGTCAAATCACTACCACGATCTTGACAGGCGGAAATGACTCTGTATTTTTTGCCTGATTTCTCTCTGAATGCTTTTGCTAGTCCATATGATAGTTCAACTAGATTCTCTAAATCTCTTGGAATTGCCTCACATGAATATGCGTATGGGTATAGCACTTCTTGCGAATACGAATGGAAATCAATGTACCCGTATATTTTGTATTCACCTTTTGTAGTATTTAGATATTTATTCCATGATGATGCTTCCAATGCTTCAAATGGTTCTTGTCCACTATAGTCTTCACTACATGGGAAATCATCGTTAGAACCCCATTCGTAATCGAATGAGTGATCGATATCAATACCGTAACAATTTGGCCAGTAGGTCTGTTGTCTGTTTTTCCTCCACAGTCTGTCATGTGTCCAAGTGTACACATAACCATCAGGGTTGAAAATTGGGATGATTAAGAAATCCAAAGAATCCAAATATCTAGTCTCTTTTTTGAAATAACTGTATCTTGTCAGCAATTGATATGCAGTCCAGCATGCTGAAGTAACACTTATCCATTCCCGTGAATGGACACCACCAGTAATTACAATAGTTTTCCTGTCCGGATTAGCAGTTCTGTTATTAGCAGAAACATGCAAAGCTTTCATTTCCCTTCCTTCAAAAGTTTCACCTACAACTTCTACTTTAACTAAATCAGGGAAACTTCTCTTTAACAAATCAAACCACAGATAAATAGTATTTAAATCCCTATATTCATTGAAGAAGAAATTCCCAAGTGTATCAACAGAGAAACTTTCCTGATCCAACGAAGGAAAGGACATATGCATGCCATTTTTAGTTTCCTCGATGGCTTTATCGATATCAGATATCATGACTTGACAACCTTTTGGTAATTTGATATTTTTTGGCAGTCTGACGTCTACGAAATCAAAATTTCGAGTCCACACATCGTAATCAGAAGTCAAAGGTTTTATCACATCATTAATAACATCCTTGCTATAATCTTTACTGCATCTGCAGATATGATAATTTGAATAATCGATATTCTCTAATTCTTGACATTTCACAATTTTAGAAATGATCCCAAATGTTAAAACAAATAACTGAAAATTCCACATATTTCTAAATGAAGTTCCACTCAGGAATATCAGTCAAGATGTACCTATTATTCCCTTTTGTTAAACACTGTCTTTATTCTGTTTCGAACCAGTCCTGATTGTAAAACCAAAAAATATTAAACAGAAATGGTGTATTAAATAGACAAAATATCCCTTGGAATATACACCCCAGAGAACACTAATCTATTGCTATATCTTGTAAACTTAGTAACCCAAAACACAACTACTATTAAAATATTTAAAACTAAATATACATATACATATACTTATACATATATACCTATATATAACTAACTGATTTCGAATTCGAAAGAGGTTATATTTAAATCAGTTCGTCTTCTACTGACTTGTCTTGTCTTGACTTCTTTTATCAAAAATTTTCCAGGCTGCATTCTTTTCCTTTGAGTATCTCACATTTTTAAAAGTAGTCATTGTTGCAGAATTTGAGATAAACCAAAATGGAAACATACAAATGACAGCAACTCTGTTGGTTTAGATTTATCCTACTTCATTGTTGATTTGACCTGATTGATGGTTCAATTATTGACAGTGTTTGGGTTCCTTTCACTGAAGTTTCTTCTTGGGTTTCCCATTCGATTCATCGAATCTAATTAAATACAACTCCAATTCGATCCGCTCTAAAACGAGACAAATTCATATAACACAATTAGTCGAGCAGAACTATACGTGTATTGCTTGTGATTCAGTAACATCTCTCATGTTTCAGTTCACTGTTATATCCTTCGTTTTCATGTTTTTTTTTTTCGTTAACGTTCTTGTCTTACTTAGCCTTGTCGTTTCTATCCGAATTCCTTCACCCCCCTTCAAAAACCAAACAAAATATCGAAAAATTTAAGAGGAACAAGAGTGTAACTGACCATCGATTAAAACTTCAATTTGATTAAATTGATCTATCTGTTGTTGGTTATTCTCTACTGTGAATTGGATAATTGATCAAGTATATCAAGTGTCTTATATTCCGAATATTGTTTTATATTCAGTTCCTTTGCAACGTTTGGTTAGGTGAAGTTACAAGTGTTTTTACTGATTTATTCTAGAAACTAGAGGAAAAGGCTGATTCTTTTTGAGAATAGTTTTCACGAATATTAGTTTATTGTTTGAATTCATATAGTTGGTTTCAAGTGGTGAAGTTATTTATATATATCGAGGTAGAAAGGTAGTATTCTTATTTTGTCTGTTTCTGTGTTTGGTTTTTTGCCTGGTCACTCTGTTCTTTTAAGCTTTGCATTTAAAAGAGTATTTATTAGAGATAGGTCTACAGTTATACGAGGACGACAAGGATAAAAAATTTGATTTTGAAATGAATAACCACAATAATATCTCTCCAACCAATAGTTTGGCTAATTTGCAAAATACTGAGCAGCAAGGTGTTGATTTATCGAAGTTAAATGACCAAGAAATAAAATTATATAAACTGTATGGGAAATTGCCTTCTAAAAAGGATTTATTTAAACACAACATGCAAGAACGTAAATATTTTGACAGTGGTGACTATGCCTTACGTAAAGCTGGTGTCATCCAATCCGACGATGTCACTGCAAATTCAAATAATAATATGCCAGTCACTAATCCAAGTGGTTTAAGGGAATCTATTATACGGAGAAGAATGAGTAATAGTGCTGGTGATTCTGTCTCTAGACAAGGTTCAATCTCAAGTGGTCCTCCTCCAAGATCGCCAAATAAGTAAACAACTCAAATAACTAAGTCAATTGCAAAAACAAATAGATGGGATCCCCATAACTTCATTAATTCTTCAACAATAATAACATTTTTAAAAATAAAAAATATTTCTTTATATTGCCACAATTAATGGTATATTTATGAGTTAATATCGTATTTGTCAATTTCAATAAAAACAGTGCTGTCCACAGACACAGTATTTAATTGAAACATATTTATAAGCCTGCAATGGCCGTGTATATTTCATTATATAAATATGTATATAGGTTGGAGTTTAGACCAAGCACAATCGAAACCCACCTAATTAATTCAATTTCCTCATAAGTCTCACATTAGCTCATAATCTTTTGTTGATAGTTTACCAGACAGTTTAAAGTTACTTTATTGTTATTAACTACACATTACTTAAAAAATAAATTCTATCTAATATTTGATTGTTTTTATAATGGTCAAATCAAAATAGGATTCGAATCATATTTCTGTTTCGGACTTTTATAAGTTAATTATTAATGCAATCTAATTCAGTTTTAAATACAGGTTGTCAATTGAAAGTTATTCGTAATATATTAATAAATATAAAATCCTTTTACCAATTGGTTTTAGAAAATTCGTTCTTATTTCTCTTATTAGTACAACTCTGTATTATATTTACTCCATTTTCATTGGAATAGTGTTATAATGCCAATAAGTATCTACCTAATTTACCAAATAGCATAAAACCTAAAAAGTAAAAATCCATAAAATACAACAATTGAGAAGTATGTGTTATATTTGAGTAGCCTGCTGCACAAGTAGCGAAACCCAAGCCAGCACAACACCAAAACATTGATAAGGTACCATCAAAGAATAACCATAATATGATATTTAATAAAGCCCAAGCACCAGAAGCTTGTAAAGAAGAGGCCCATTCGACTTTTCTAATACCATAAGTTACCCCTAACATTGCATTAACACTTCTAATAATAGATGAAGTTGAAATTGGTTTTGGTTTAATATCAAAAATATAATCAAACAATGGTATCAACAAACCAAATATTACACCTTCTAATGAATAGCCAGCCCAATCAGGGATCAAACCAAAAGTTAGAACCTTTGACAATTTCGAAACCACTAATAATGGCTTTGAAGCCAAGTCAGGATGTAATTGATGATTATCATGTAAGTTTTTAGATAATTGATGATAACCTATACCACTTAATGATAATACTAATACGATTGAAATTATTCTAATAATTTCATTAAAAGTTGAACTCTTGTGATGATTGACAGTTGAAACAGAAGATGGATTATTAGAAGAGATTACTCTTGAAATAGCTGGACCCATGCTTCCACTCTTCATCTCCAAAATCTCATCATCCTCATTAAAAGCATCACCTTTATTCATTTCTTTATAAATTTCATTATCTTCACTTTTAGTAATATCTTCATCATAAATAGAAAATAATTGTGGTTTGGTTAGATTTGTAAAAGATTCTACACTTGGAATAGGTCCCTTTGACAAATTGGTTACTCTTTTATTCAAACTAGTTTGAGAAGAACCTGATCTTTGCAAACTATTACCACTCTTTTTCTTATTATTACTCTTTTTCTTAGCCATTGTAAACCTATTATTTTAATATCCTTCTTTTCTCTATCGATCTATCTAATCCTCTTTTGAGATAAAACACTACACAGAAGTTAGAATCTACTACAATATTAATCAAACTACTAAATATGTAACAGAATAAAATACCGTAAACTGATCTACTCCTTCCTATTTATATATCTTGACTGAATAAACTTTCACAGCTCTCTTTAAATATTATTTCATCAAGTTAAAGGTGAAAAATTACACGCAAACGAATAAGAAGGACCGATAAATGGTAAGAAAGCCTATTTTTGATCTATAGTCTATAAGAGATGAAACCAATATATAAAGGTGATGATACTGGGAATATATCCTAGAGGATTGTTATATTGGTAGTGTATATGTGGTGAAGATATAGTTGTTATGGTTAGTCATAAGAATCCAAGTGTTGGGTCTGTTGGTGTATTACAGAAGAGACCTAATAAAGAGGATGCTTTAAAGATCTTGAAAGATTTGGCTCATCGAGTTTCATACTTGATGAAAGAGTATCGATTCAAGGTTGGCAGTCTTGTTGAGTTCTATCCTAGGGATAAGAGGTTGCTTGGGATGAATGTGAATAGAGGCCAGAAGGTTATGGTTCGGTTGCGAGATCCGTATGATGAATATCAGTTTCTTAGTAGAGAATCAATAATGGGCACTATATTACACGAGCTTACTCATAATTTATTTGGACCACATGATAATAAGTTCTACAAGAAATTGGATGAATTGATAGGAAGACAATGGATTATTGAGCAACAAGGTTTGTTTGATAATTTTTTAGGTAACGGCAAGACTTTGGGTAATCGCAATGATAGTAACACATCAAGGGAAACCGTTAGAAAGAAGAGGATAGCTCATTTAAGCAAAGGGTTTAAGTTAGGTGGTCTGAAGTCAAGTACAGTTGCGAAAACAGAGGGGGTATCACCAAGAGAAATGGCAGCAGCAGCTGCCATGCAAAGGAATAAAGACAGATATAGTTGTCCTGGTGAATCGAATGAAAAAATCGAGCTAATAGCTTCACAGGAAGGTGAACTAGAAGTAGTGATTATAAGTGATGATGATGATGATGATGATGATGAGAAGGAAGAGGAAACTATTGAAATAATTGACTTAACATAGTTCACAAACTGACAATCCAGCCTTGGTGTTGTATCCTTGTTCTGTCCTTGAAGTGAGGTTACTCTGGGTTTTATAGAGTTTTTGTCGATATTTTAAAGTAAGATATTCCGCGAAGTTCTATAAGGTTCGATTGGATTAATAATCAGTCTATTGAGGGTATAGCAATAGACAAACGTATTACTAAGGTGGCGAAGGTTTGATGGGTTTCTTATTGATGAACACTATTTAGGATGGTTCCTAGATATTGGATATATAAAGACCGTTATGGTTTTCCAAAAATTTCTGGTATTAGTTTGATATGAAAATGTTAACGCAACTAAACCCCGTTAAGGTTAAAAGAGAGAACGTTAATTAAGGTAATACGAAAAGGAATCAAATATATTAAAGTACGTGATGGAAGTTGCTGTTGAGAGAGAAACTGGAATGTTGGATGTTGGTACTCATTGTCAGTACTGTCGACAAATCGATTTCTTGCCGTTTCATTGCTCATTTTGTAAGCAAGATTTTTGTACTAGTCATCGCACCAAAGAGTCACACCATTGTAAGTGGTTATTGGATCAACAGAAAGCTATAGTGACCACTGTTGATGTTGTGAATGAGAATGGATCCATCGATAATCAGAAGAAGAAGAAAAAGAAGCGTGGTCCCACTTATTTTGAGAGTCTGTTACCTGAGAAATCACATATACGTGTTAAACAACAATCCGGTTCAGTTAATCACAAGATGTTTGGTATAGACAAATCCACAGTGATAAAGGTTTATGACAATAACAAGTTGAGCAATAGCATACCAGAGGGCAATAGGGTACAGGTACGATGTTACTTGGTTGACAAACGTAGGCCATTTGTATCTGTGCATGAGATGGAGACATATGTTAATAAAATGTGGCCGGTTGGAAGAGCTATTGATCAGTTAAGTCGTGGATTTAGTAATATTGACACCAAAACAAAGGAAACTAAACAGCTGTATCTGGAAGAAGACAAAGCTCTAGATCCAAATGATCGTGTAGATAATACGATTTCGAACAATGATACTTTGTACTTGGTGTTAAAATAATGAAAAAAAAAAATAGGCATGAATAAAACAAAAATTTGAAATGTTGTGAGGAGGAAATTACAATTGAGTATCAAAAATAATGGCATTAATAGAGTTTATTATGTATATTTACATAGATGAGGTAATAAATATAGCAGTAATGGAAGTTATGGAGGTTATTCTTCGTCGCTTGAGTCGTCGAACATATCAGCATTGAAGTTTCTTGTATCTGACCAAAATTTGTCCAATTGTTGAATATCGTTCTGAGAGAGTTGTGGAGGTGCAGGTTGCTTTTGCTGCTGCTGTTGCTGATTTGGATGCAAATGTACTTGATGATGTGGATGGTGTTTATTATAACTTTGTATATCTTTATCGGTATTTATATTATTGTTGACAATAGTTTTATCCTTGGAAGCATCTGGCCCGCCAGAAATTTTTTTACTATAGAATAAATGTGACAACCAACTAAAAGCACCACCACCACCATGGTGGTGGGTATGATGATGATGATTATGCATTTGGCTATGGTTTGTATCTGAGACACTGTCCAGTGAATGTTGCTGAGACAGCATTGGTAAGCTATTTTGAGACGCAGTAGTCATGAAAATAAATAAGTAAAAGTGAGTTTTATTATATTATCGTTGTTGTTGTTGGTGATGTTGTTTTTGTATAAGTACAAGAAATTAGTTTATACATAGAACAAAATCGAAACATGTACATTAGAAGGAAGTGAAGTAAAATCAAATGAGTCCTCCTAATATCAGGAAATGACGAGCTTCTAACCCAGATTTATCCAAATCTGAGTTCCATTTATATACTTCTGTCACTCCTGTTCGAACCCTGGCGGTAGCCATATTTTTAAAATAAATTAATTATTTAAATATAGATATCTAGTGTGTGTACAAATTTTTGTGCTTCTATTTTAGAGAGTACCACGTGCCACGTGCCAATTTAAAAAACATAAATTCCTGTTCCCTCTTCTCTTCCCCCACGTCCGTTCTGCCCCCTCCTCCCCTCCCTTCCCTTCCCCACCACATGCATGGCTGAAAGGGTTGAACCCAGCTCATTAAACCATTCCCATCGATTGTTAAACCATTAACTATTAACTATTGACCAATTTTACTGACTGACAGGATCAGAATTAGAATCAGAATCAGAGTCAAGAGAGAGTGATATTCGATTCGACTCAACTCAACTGAATTCAATTCAATCTAGAGGAAAACAGTAAGAGAAAATAGAAATGGGTTATGTGTTTTTAATGCTGATCATGGATGGTGATGGATGATAAGATAGATAAGAAGATGTTACGATTTGTATTCGGCGCGGTGTTATGATGTCTTGTCTAGTGGGATAAAATGGTGTGGTGGGAGGGGAATGGAAGCTTCAATTTCCGGATTTTGGATTGTTATTACCCGGACAAGCATTGTCATGTGATTATCATGTGATATGGAGTTTTTCTTGTTAATCATCACGTGAACAGGATTTTACATTCAATTTTATTTCAGTATTTTTTGAATTTGATTTTGAATATGATTTTGGATATGAACTTCTATGATGGCATCTCCAAATTAGACAACAGATTTTCGAATTGGCTTCATCATTAACTATTGAGTACCATTGGTAGCAGCAGCTCATATTACTAAGATATTAAAAACCAATTCAATCTTATTTTAGGACAGATCCATTGCTCAGCTCATCTCAGCCTACATACGCAAGCTAACGCTCATACACACATATACACACCTATTATATATACATTACTATTCTCACAATGGAGTTACTGCCTGAAGGTAAAAAAAATCAAACCAATGTCAGCTACAAAGATCAACAATTAATAAATGAATTTTCAAAATTGATTATGCGTAAAGATTCAATCGAAGAACAACTAAACTTACAAAATGAGGAAAAATCATATTTAGAAGATGTATCTTTGGAGATAGAACTTATAGACGAAGACCAATTGGTTCATTATAAAATCGGTGATGTATTCTTGATGCTACCACAAGAAGAAGTAGTGAATTTATTAGAATCGGATACTGAAGTTATCGATTCAAAAATAGATAATTTACAGAATTCAAAATCAGAAATTGATGATAGATTAAAAGAATTAAAAGCTCAATTATATGCTAAATTCGGTGATAATATCAACTTGGAACGTTAGTTCAATTCAACGCTTTATAAAAACAATATTTAATTAATAATAATAAGATATATATCCAAATATATAAGCATATGTGTGTATATATATATATCCGACAAAAAAAAGATTAAAATACTTAATTATATTAAATAAATTGCATTTTTAATATATATCCATAAAACAGTTAGTGTTCATGACCAACCAAAGCATGAACTTCACTATCCCTTTCCAAATTAAACGAATAACCAAACTTTTTCTCTACCAATTCAAGTTTTTGCTTCAAATTGGGCACAACATCGCTTGGGATATCCATTGTAAAACCTTTGATCAACGCATATTCATGTGTTACTTTACCTCCAAACTCAGACACAATGTTCTTCACTTCAGTTATGAATGAATTAGGGATGACTTCGTCACCACTATTACCAAATGTTAATATATACGAAGAGGAACCTATATAGTCGCACATGGTTAGTATTAAATTCAATGACATTACATTAAACTATATAAACTTCAAATATTTTACTTCTTAATACAAAGAACGAAAGTAAAATACCATGTTAACGTTTAAAAGATTATTAGAAAAGTTCACATACTTGCACCTGCAACAGTCATCACAATAGAAAATAATATTAAGTATATTGTCGAAATCAATTTCATTATAACTAATAATTCATAAATCTAAATAAATAACTTTACATCTAAATACTAGAAAAACATGGAAAAGATACACATTACAACAGATATACATACATCGAAACCATTACAAAACTACCTATGCATTCACCTTTTTATACCAAAACTTATTCATTATCCGTTCTTTTTATATCTTCAAAGCCTTCCTTTTTCCCTCTTCGCTTAGAAGATATCCCTTGAAATGCCATCGGGAGATATAGTAGAATAAAAAACGGATATTAATCACGTGATTACACATTCTATTGACATACCTTCTTTTAATAAACGACGACATCAATTAGATTAGAGATATAAAAGACTGTTTAGTTAGATAAGTTTCTTGATTAAGAATTGTATTAGTATTAATTATTATTTAGAATATTCGAAATGCCTAAGGTTCTATTTAAGGAATTATTATGGTGTACACGTCAGTTGGCAATTAGAATTAAGTTTATGTCAGTTCTATACTACTGCTTCAACTTTCTCACCACGACCATCATTATCTTTTGAAGATGAAGATGACGAGGGTGCACTTATATCTTCAGATGTTCTAATCTCGTCATCGATGGTGCGTACGTTTGTTGGGATATTGACTCCAATATTCGATCTTATTGGTTCTGGGATGTAACTTGTGTCTTCTTGGTATGTAAACTCACCAATTTCGACTTGATCTGTACCGAGTTCTTCCTCATCAGGTCTTAATCTTAATCTCAAAAATGGAATTCTGTCTAACGCCAATAATAATATAGCAGTGATGACTGTTGACCAAGCAATAGTGGAACACATTGCTGCTAATTGATAACCTACTTGTTTCCAATGGTGATTTATCCAACCACCTTCAATTGGTGCAATATATGAACCAGCAGTGGCGTTAACGTAATCAGCTGCAAATATACCTGTAAATACAGAGCCAATACATCCACCAACACCATGTAGAGCCCAAACATCCATACCATCATCAATGCGAAACAATGTCTTTAAGTCTGTTGCGAGATTACATCCAGTTGCTGTGACAACCCCAATGATTACAGAAGACCAAACTGGGACGAATCCCGCAGCAGGAGTAATACCAACTAATCCAGAAATAATCCCTGAACATAATCCTACTGTGGTCCATTTACCGCCAAATCTAAAATAATCGATAAACATCCAAGTCAAACCACCGCTAGCAGCAGCTAAGTTAGTAGACATAGCAGAATACCATGCCCTAATGGTAGCGTTACCAGCAGATGCAGGGTTGAAGAATTGCCATCCAAACCAAAGGAAAACTGTACCAAGTACAACAGAAGTAACAGAATGTGGTTTGTATTTTGGCATACCTTTTTTAGCAATAGGATCATTTCGTTTACCGAGAATCAAAGCATACATCAAAGCACCATGACCAGAGGCAATATGAACAGGACCTCCGCCTGCATAATCTAAAGCTCCCAATTTTGCTAACCAACCTTCAGCATTCCAAGTCCAACAAGCAATCGGACAATAAACGATAGTCATCCAAAGGAACAGGAAAACCATCATTGGAAATAATCTTGCTCTTTCACAAGCACCACCTAACATTAAAGCACCAGTTACAGCAGCAAACATACCTTGGAAAACTGCAAATAATATATCTGGTAACGAAGTCACTGAAGAAGGAGCCCCCAATACATGTCTAAATCCAAAATTTGATAATGTGCCAATAAAGCCATTACCTTTGGTATTATGAGAAAATGCTAAAGAGTAGCCCCAAAAGAACCATTGGAATATAACTACAGAGACTGCCATTAAGGAAGCCCACAATAAGGATAATGCATGTTTTTTTCTTGATAAACCTGAATATAATAAACCAATACCTGGAACCATAATCCAGACACCAGCAGATGCGACACCAACCCAAGCCATATTACTCAAATCGAATTGAGTATTTAAATCAGTGGTTAAAGAATCACCACCGGTACCTGTACCGGTTGGCGTTCCTGTAAAATTATAAGTAGACATTATTATATAAACTTAATTCTCGTTGGAATCTTGTTCATAGCATTGAATAAATTTAATAACCAACCATTTAATTAAATAAACCCATCCACAATTGTAATATTCAATTATTAAATATTAGCTTCTATTTAAATACAAAGTAATGTTCCCATAATTCAAAACTATATAATAAAAAATCACATTGTTATGTCATCAAGAGAGGTCAACATTGAATCATATGATATACGGGTTGGTGATACCATTATAGTTATATCTATACCCTGGATTAATCAGATATAACGCCCGGAACCATTAAACGCCCAATCAACATATGTGACATTTGATTGAATGTGCCTCTTCTAATATAAATTGATTAAGTAAATGGAACGACTAATTTGATTTATACACTGTCACTGAATAATTTTGACTAATAAAACATAAACAGTATCAGTCTTGCTCTTACTAGAACTATTTACTTGTAGTCTCTCTTATCGACGAAACTAGATAAAGGGAGATGAGATGAGGTGAGATGAGATATCCCAGATACGGAAATATACATAACAAGCAAACCAGTATAACAACTGATTGATAAGAAAAACAGAGGGTAAAAGATAAAGAAGATACTCGATTAATTTCACAACTTTGGTTGGGAAAAAGGTAAAAGGGTTATTTATTTTTGTTCATGCATGCATGTATTGCAGTTATTCTTTAATGTAAACTTTTTCATCGATGAAGCAACACAACCTTTTGGTTGCAAAGATGAAACAGTTCCTGATAACAAGGACAACAAGAACAACTGATAAGAAGGGATACCATTCGGGTATTACTTCTCAAAATGAAAACAATGTCTATATTTTTCACCAGATAAGATTGATTAGTTTCTTACTCTATCTGTACACGACCGATCGAATTATCCGGTTCAGGTGATTGTGATAATTAATTAGTCCTGATTAAGAAGAGGGCTATGAAAAAGCATAAAGGAACTATTCAATAAGTTCGATTAAAGTGTATAAGATTATTAAACTTATATATAAGTGTTCGTACGTATACTGGTGTATTTGCTTAGAACTTATTTAAGTTAGTTTCCTTGAATTATCCTTTTGTTGTAGTACTTGCTAATATCAGCTGACTCTGCTAATTCCATTTACTTATATTTTCTTACCTGCATTTTTTTCTTGTCCGCTTCTGTATATATTTATGCTACATTTCTTCTATAATTCTTTGTTTAAGAACTCTTCACTGAAGTAGCTAACTTGCTTGAAATTATATTCAAATCCATCGATTCCACCATAATATGGATCATCGACTATCTTATTGAATTTACCACTTGTGTTCCAGTCACCAAACAACATAACCTTGGCCTTGGATCCCTTTGGTTGTATTTTTTTTAAATTTCTGACATTATTCTCATCCATACCAATAATATAATCGAATTGATCAAAGTGATTTCCACGAATTTGTTGTGCCTTGTGGTTAAATGGTACTTTATGCTTCTTTAATGTAGATTGTGAACGTGGATCTGGATTCTCTCCAATGTGATACCCTGCTGTACCAAACGAATCAATCCTATCAAATCTATCTTGTAAATTCGCTTGTTCAACAGTATGTCTAAATACTGCTTCTGCCATTGGTGAACGACAAATGTTACCTAGGCATACCATTGCAACTGAAATTTTAGGTTTGGATTCAACTGTCATTTCTAATTAAATCGCCTATCTTGTACTTACTATTTTTATTAGGATGATGATCTATAGCTATCTACTTGTTTTCACTGATGGTATTACTAGTACTTCAGACAAAAGAGACAGTGTTTATATTGATAAACTTGTGATTGGTTTGTAATTAATTCCCTCTTCAGGAAATATCTATATAAAAGTTTAATGCTTTTAAAGATTGTGAAAGATCAATCAATATCTTCTTGAATATGCTTTTTTTCCCTTTCATATTAATCTAAGATACGTAACGTTACCTATCGTTAACTATGTCCCTGTTCTTTTTATACCTTTGCTTTTTTTAATCCTTAAAGTCACGTGCCTATACAAAATTTGCTCGTTTCGATCCACTGACGTATGGATTAAAATTAAATAGTTGAAATTTTGAATGCAAGAATGAAATACGTTAGTTGATAATGGTGCCGTGCCATTTCAAGTTTTTTGTATGAATTTGGAATATAAAACTAGTGTAAAAAGTATCTTAAAAGAAACCTATAAATTATTTAATTGTAAAACATAAAACAGTAAAAGAAATTAATAAAAAATAAAAAATTAAAAGAAAGAGCTATACGAATTGCTTTAGTGAAGTGTCTTGATTTCATAAAGCCTTCTTGAAAGGAGAACATAAGCACACTTTCTTATCTTGGTAGAATTTGTGGACTTTTTCTGCTCTTTCAACAACCCCTTGTTCTGTAAAACCAAAATATTTGTAAATATCAGTGGCTTTACCTGATCTACCAAAGTCATCAATACCAAAACATTCATGTGCATACTTATGCCAGCTTAATGTAGCCCAAACTTCAACTGACATAATTGGCACACCATCTGGTAAAACAGAAATTCTGTAATCAACGGATTGCTTGTCAAAAGTAAAGAAATCTGGAATTGAAACTATACGAGCATTAATATTCTTAGATTTTAGTAATTTAGCAGCATCTACACATAGTGACACTTCAGAACCTGACGCAATTAGGATGATATCAGGCTTGGCTACATCTTGTAAAATATAACCACCTTTAGAGGCCTTTTCAATTGTACTACCTTCCAATTGTGGTAAGTTTTGTCTGGTTAAGGCAATAATACTTGGTGTGTGCTTATTTTCTAATGACACTTTGTAAGCAGCTGAGGTTTCATTACCATCTGCTGGTCTCCATACTTGGATATTTGGTAGTGCTCTAAAGTGGGTAGCAGTCTCGATAGGTTGATGTGTTGGACCATCCTCACCTAAACCTATAGAATCATGGGTGGCTACCCAAATAACTGGGTAACCTGATAATGCAGCAACCCTTACCGCACCAGCTGCATAAGATACGAAATTTAAAAATGTACCTCCATAAGGTTTAAAGTTTGCCCCATATGCGGCTATCCCATTAATAATGGCACCCATACCATGTTCTCTGACACCACATCTGATGTATCTACCGCTCCAGTCACCCAATTTCGTTGATGGTGGTTGAAAGTCAACTGAGCCCTTTGCTCTTGTCAAATTAGAAGGTGTTAAATCAGCAGAGGTACCCATTAATTCTGGTAGTGTATCCCAAATACTATTCAAAACAACTTCGGATAGTTTTCTGGTAGCAATTGCAGGATCAGATGGGGTATAGACTGGTAATTTTGATTCCCAATTAGCTGGTAATTTACCATCAATTCTTCTTTGGAGTTCAGCCCCTAATTCTGGATACTTCTTCTTGTATTCAGAGAATAATTTTCCCCATTTAGTACACTCTTCTAAACCTCTTTCAGTTATTTTTTCGTTATAGAAATCGTAAACTTCCTGTGGCACAACGAATGACTTTTCTGGATCAAAGCCAAATTTCTTTTTTAGTTGTTTAAGATCATCTGGCTTCAATGGAGAACCATGGACAGTTTCTTTACCTTGACTTAAGGAACCAAATCCGATGGTAGTATTCATTTTAATTATCGTTGGTTTGTTCTTGCATTGCTTTGCCTTAAGAATAGCTTGCGAAATTTCATTTAAATTACTGTCACCATCAGCGATGCTCAAAGTTTCCCAGCCGTATGCTTCATATCTTTTCAAAACATCTTCAGTGAAAGAAAGATTAGTGCCACCATCAATAGTAATATGGTTGTCATCATAAATGACAATCAAATTACCAAGTTGAAGATGACCAGCGACGGAACAAGCTTCGGAAGAAACACCTTCTTGCAAACAACCATCACCGGCGAAGACATAAGTAAAGTTGTTTGATAATTCAAATCCAGGTTTGTTGTAGGTAGCAGCCAAATTTTTTTGAGCAATTGCCAAACCTACAGCACTTGAAATACCCTGACCTAAAGGACCAGTAGTTAATTCGACACCTGGTAATTCAAACTCAGGATGACCAGGAGTTTTGGAATTGAGTTGTCTAAATTGCTTTAGATCCTCAATGGAATAATCATAACCAGACAAGTGTAACATGGCATATAACAATGCACACGCATGCCCATTGGATAAAACGAATCTATCTCTGTTGACCCAATCTACACATTTTGAACTCAAGTTCATTTGTGTCCAAAGAACATGGGCAGCTGGCGCCATACCTAGAGGAGCACCAGGATGACCAGAATTGGCTTTACAAACAGCATCAACAGCGAGTAATCTTACTGTTGATATGGCCAGTTTATCAATATCACCGAATTGTGTCATTATTTGTATGGATGTGTATAACTATATATATTTTAGTTCCTGAAATTCTTTAAATTGTCAAATAAAAAGGAAGAGGTAGAGGTAGAAAAGTTTCACTCAACAAACTATGGGAAAATAATTATTTTTCCAAATAGTTGAAGTTCTGCTTTATATATTTATTGAATTCAATTGATACAGTGGTGAATACAATGAAAAAAAGACATAACTTGAAAACCTCTTTCTTGTCATTTATAATTGCTCTCTATCATTCTATGACAATTGAATTAATGCAATTGGGCATTTCACACCCCTAATAACTTAATTTGCACAGTTCATTACTGATTAGCCTGATGAATTAGATTGCTCCGGTTACCAATATCAACAACTTTCTATAAAAATATCAGTCTTATGGAAAGCTGTTGTAAGACATTGAAGAGAAAAACCGTGAGAAACATAAGCAATTGAGTTAAGAACAAATAAATTGGGAGCATCCTAGAGAAATGGTTAACAGGAGCAAATATTTCCCTATTATACCTCCCTTTGTTGTTGTATGATTAAAGGTTTTTGCAAAATGTTTAAGAATTGTGAATGGATATTTTTGTCATCTCTTACCTTAACAAGAGTTCTATTCTCCGAACTTTTTCAAGATACCCCTAAAAAAAATAAGAATTGTATTTTAAGTAAATGACAGTAAATAAAAGCAATAAATAATTGCAGTAGTATTATATCAGGTGTTGTAAAATATACATATACTTATATGCAAATGTTTCATATGCCTCCCTCAATTGACTACTCAACTTAGCAATCAAATTTTTGAAATTAAGAATAGTATATATAAGTATGCATATCGATTTTCTCAAATGCATAATCGAACAAGAAATTTTCTGAATTGAACAATTTTGAGATAAATTCCAACTTCAGCCCCAAGAGAAAACAACTTAGCAACACTAAATTCGCAATATATTCTCCCGACTGACACTGTTATATTCCTTTTTTTTTACTTGCTCAAATATCATTCCTCTCAAACCCAATTTTTGTTTTTCATGGATTAGTCTGGATTTAATGCAATTGCATCCTATCAATTGTTATACTTAATACCCTCCCATCATAAGAACCATTGTTGTAGTCTCAAGTATATAACATAGCCTTGACTATCTCCCATTCCTTCTTGTATATGCTTCAAAAGGATATTTCCATTTCTGTCCATCAGTCCCTCACTCACTTTCCTTTTCCCGGTTTTGACTCCTTAAAATAGAATGAAATTTTCACCAACTTTTTTTTTTTTTGCAGTTTAAATTTTAGCGGGAATTTTCTATTTTAATGGCCATTTCGAAGAAAAGTGAAAAAAATTGATGTAATTTGTTCAGAAAATGTTGTAGAAGTTTGGAATTATATAATAAACGACTCCCAGATACCAGATTTAGTTAGTCCAAGATCGTTTGCTCAATTTATCGATGAACTAGGACTTGATCATAATGTGGAAGCTTTATTTAAGTTTTTATATATATCAGTAAACGTTATCGTTACTTGGATTAAGTTTTGTTAGTTGTTTGTGTTGTAGATAAGGCTTAGTTTGCGTGCATAAACTGGGTGCGTTATTCTACACTTGGATTAACCTTTCGAAAGACTTTGTCGTTTAAAGGAGTTCGAGAAATTTTTGAGATGACAGGGTTCCAGCTATCTCCACAACCATATGATAATGATGAGTTGCCGACTAATAAAGAAGAGATTAAGGAAGTTGGTGAATTTATGTCTCGTGATGTTTTAAAAAACTGGAAAAAGGGTAAATGCTATAAATTTAAGACAAATAAACTGATTAAAGATAAAAAAGATATTAGTGTGCAAACTTACAATAAACACATTGACTCAGATTTTTGGATGTCGAGAGTTTCTCATCATAAAATTGATAAAGATACCTATTATAAAATCGTATATTATTTAAATGGTAGTAAAAAGGATCCAAAAACAGGTAAATGGGTTATGAAAGATAGGGCTTTCAGATCGAAAATGGAAAAGGAATACATTGAAGTATTGAATAAATTTGAAATTTTAGAACAAACTGACTCAGGTTGGGTTTTAGTAAACTTGGAATATGAATTGGGAAAACCATTGGCAACAAGAGAATTCAATGAATGGGTTTATCCGATTGAACCATATAAATCTAAAAGTTCAAAATTAGAAACCTCAATGATCGTGTGTTTAGTTGCAAATAGACCTTTGAAAGAAAGTACTATTCATGAAAATCACACAAAGGCGTACTATGCTTCTGTAGAGAAATTAGAATACGATTATGAAAAAGAAGAATTGATTTGGACAATGTGTACTACAAGTGATGCAGGTGGTAATGTACCAAAATTTTTACAAAATGCAACTATTGCGAAAACTGTTGCTAAAGATATACCATATTTATTCGATTATATTTTAAAAAAATCTGAAAAATAAATGAAAAAATGAATCAATCCAATTGTAAAATTCATCTCTAGGCTACATGCTGGTAATATTTGATAAAAATTGAGGAATTAACTAAAATTGAAGACACTTGAAAGGTAATCAATAATAATTAACCTGTTATATAAAATTGGAAAATGTATTGTAATAATAAAAAATTAATCTAATAATTATATTTAATCATCATTTTATATTAGTGTGTATAAATCAAAAAAACTCCGATACGGGGAGTCGAACCCCGGTCTCCACGGTGAAAGCGTGATGTGATAGCCGTTACACTATATCGGATATTAATTTATAAAAGTTGTTGTAAGGAGTTAGTAGGTGTGAGAAGATAAAAAAGAATAGAAAATTTTATTGTTTGTTTGAAGGTGTAGATCCTAGAGTGTCGGTAGAATTATCTAAAGAAGAATTTGAAAAGATTCCTTTGACTAGAAGACTGACTATTTGTCAGAATGGTAAAAGCTTTAAGCTTCAATGTAAGTAGATATACGTTAAATAGGTACGTTGACCTATTACTGAGGTCAGTGAGTGGTAACTCGCTCATCCTCTTGTAACAGAGTAGTCTATATAACATAACATAAATAGTTTTATATATCGGAACTGAAAATTTGTTCCTTTTATATATTAGAGAAATCGATACATTCACCTTGTACGAAAAATGGCAATAGTGACACAAACTTTATCCTCGAGTATCCAGGTTAAAGTCACAACACTATTATAGCTAACTTTTTACAGTTACTAGGATCATCACAATTAGAAGAAGAGGGGGGAGATGTCATAAGGAGTTAGTAGGTAATTGTGTATTGTTTTGTCCGGAATATATTTATTAGAAATAATGTTCAATAGGCCGACGACGTATTGTAACTATATAACTATTATCTATATTAATCTTATTATTAGGTTTATATAATAATATGTAGTGGTTTATTGTAGAGAATCAGAGGGTTGTGTATTCTTTACAGAATCGTTAATAGTAGTAGATTGTTTAGTTGTTTGCAAGGACATTCTTAATAAGTTGATATTGATCCGGTGTATTAAAGTATAAAATATATACATGGGAATATAATTAACATGACAAGTGTCAATTAAGATCTTGTCATTTCTTATATAAAGTGTTGGAAAAGTTTTAACGTCAGAAATAACACTTTCGTGTAAAGTAACATTTCTTTATCCTATATGAATAATGTCGTAATACGTATATATCATGGGTTACCTCATAATTCTGACAAAAAGATACTTAACTCCTTTTATGTGTATAATTTGTTCGAGACCTCTTGGAAAAATGCTCATAATATCTTCAATTATTTCATCATAATCCTCTATACAAGGGTTATTAAGAAATGGATCTCTATGATACCAGGATCTAATAAATAAGTTGGCTTTTTTTCATTTGGCATGTATATCATAAGATCGTTTATTAGAATTTTTAATCCTAAAGAATTATTTTCTTTCCACTTCTATAATACTGTAAAATTGATTGTATTTCATGGTGACTGTAAAATGGATACAATATTTTATGGGGTTCAATACCTTTATTAATTGCGTTTTGTATATTCATTTCTTTATATCTTTGGTACATGTAACGGCAGTGCTGTATCTATTGTTAGCCATTTTGTGAGTGTTTAGTTATTATTTAAATGTAGAGTTAGTTTGGTATACGTTAGAATAACGGCGCGTCTGCGTTTATTCAAGAGACCCCATATGATGGAAATCTGCATGGTAAAGTAAATATACTATTAAGCAATTCTTTGTTTTCTCTTTATAGACTGAATTGCATATAGTAATATATAATATTATACAAGGATCTTTTATTATAGTAACATTGACCATCTGAAACAGCGTTGTGGCCGCGACACATATCTTGTCGACTATCAAGGTTTGCACGACATAACATCGGAATAATACAAACTTCATGAATCATGACATTGACGTCAACACATAATGTAGTCTGTCAGACATCATTAATAAAATCTGTAATACATGCAGATGTTGATCTAAATCAGGATATTATTATGTCCGTACACTATTGAATTCATTCAATAGTTTAAGTATTACATTTCCATTGGTATATAAATTGATTGGATTTTGGACAACATGTTGTTTGTATATTACTTTCTGTATGGTGCATTCTATTCGATAATGTATGAAATATTGTGGCTTATTATAATATTATAATTTTAACACTACATGTTGAGTTTATATTAAGGATAATATATAAACATTAACGAGGTCAAGTTTATACAGTTGTTATTTATACACAGGAGAATACCAAAATGGATGAACCATTGGAGATAATAGAATCTAATAACCCTCATGCAAATGATCCAGCATATCAGGAGAATCTTATGTCATTTTTAGAGGCATTCAAGAAGGCTTTATCTGGTAATTTAGTAGTGCTGGGAGTAGATATCGATACTAACGAGATTATAACGGTTGCAGAACTTCTCAAAATCCCTAAAGAGTATATGAAATGCATATTTCTAGCCTTATATTATGTTGATAGACAAACACAAAAGTTTGGTATTGGGATATTGGATGAATTTGAATGGATTAAACCAATTGAAACCGTGGTAATGCTTTTATCTGATCCACTACTACACCTGCAATTGGCTAATAAAAATATAGATGGTACTATATATATCAAAGATATGGAGAAATATTTTTCCAGACTTGATCTTATGCCATCTAGTAAGATGCTAGATGGTACAAACTCATCAAAAAATCGGAAACAAGTAGTAAGAATAGGTTTAGAAGGAATTAGAGGTGATGGCAAGGAAGAGTTGAGTAGCTTTTTAAAGCTAATGAGATCATATAATGAGTTCAAGCAACATTACCCTTTCAATACCAGATTTGCTTTGATTTTTACAAATGAAACAAATAATGACAGCATTGAAGGTCTATCAGATGCTGTTGAAGCCATATGAGGATGGTGGCTAATAGAAGAAGCTATAAAGAGGAAAGATATAATTATAGATGATGATAGAGGTAGAGATAATAGCCGATCAACAGGTAGCCACTCAAATAAAGAAAGTAATAATCCCTCTCGGAATGATAGCTCAAATGCGATTCGAGAACAAAAAAGTCATGATGAGGCTACCGAAGATAATGTCAGTGATAAGTCGTATTCGTCATTGTCTGAAACAGAACCTCCGGAACCTCTACAGATCACAAATATTCCTCCTTGGAAAGCAAATAGAGATCTTAAGAGATTCTCTAATATGTTATTATCATATAACAGTATTTTAAAAACTGGATTATTCTCGAATAGCTCTCCAGCGATAATTCGATTGTTCCAAGAAATGAAATCAGATTTCGCTGGTCAATTGAGACGCTTAATGAGGGCGGTATTGCCAGGATTACCCGTAAACGTGAATAGAGGAATTTGGAGTGAAGAGGATGAGTCGGTATATATAAGCATCAAGTTTCCCAAGCATCTGCACATTGTAACCGGTAAGATAAGGTTTCAAATCATCACAAATGACGCTGATGAGGGAACAACTAACCGTCGAGCAGTACAAATAAGATATACACTGTATTTCAGGTTTAGACAGAATAATAAAATAGATGATAATTAAATAAATTCATAATTAATTAAGACATGATTCACTATGCGTAACCACTTAACTCTTGGTTCTATTAGGTTATCATATATTTATCGTGTTGTGGTAATATATTATATGTAACTTGTATCTAGATCTTGTTGCTTGTGTCTTATTATCCTTCTCTTTCTTCTAGTCTGTAACAAACATACTAATCTTTATAATCTTCAACACGTATCTTAAATACAATGTTATTTGATAAATTCCTTGTGATTATTTTAATCTTCCCAATACTACCATAATTTAATGTGATTTATTATCAAATAAATATTGTCCAATTTTGGTGAACCCACCAGTTGGAAGATGGAACTGTTATTACTGAAAATACAACTTTTTGTCTTTGGAATTCACTAGTAATTCCTGTCTTAAATAAATATATATTGATATGTTAGAATTTTCTCCTTTGTTCCTTTTAGACTACACATATCGTATACAAATTAAACAGTTATTCTAAATATCAAATGTAAATATTTGGTTTCCATTTATATGCCAAACATTTGGATGAAACTTTCCAAGTTCGTGGTGTTAGCAATTGGCGAGTCGTCATGATAATTAACGCTGAATTTGGTATTTGACATCTTGAACGCTAAGTGTATCCATATTGAGATTAAGCAATTATTTCAACAAATTTAACTTCTATAAATACATACATGTACAAGATTATGATAAAAATGTATATTGATTATTATAAGCCAGTTAGAAGTGAACAATAACTTACAGAGTGGATGAATACTTTTGTTAAAATATTTAGGACATCTGGGTCTCGGCGAATGTCTATCTATTGGCACTAAAACATCGATAAGAGAACATACAGGTTATCAACAACAAGACTCTATTCCCCCAGTCGAAAATGGAAATGGTATCTAAGAGAGCATTATTTTATTCTTCCATTAATAAATAGTTCTTGTTCGGTAAGATGTTTTGTTGGAATATTCAATGTACTGATAAACAATTCAAGTCATACTTCATCCGCCCTATGGCATTATCCCTATGCAGTTTTTATTATTGATATTATTATAATATAATTATCTTTTATTTGCACTCATTTTTGTATAATTACCGGATTTCTTTTACCTTATCGTCTGTTTAGTTATTTAACTTGGATTTCTAGTTCTACAGTCAGCCTAAGCTTTAGGTATTTTGATTTCTATGTAAGCATGTGATCTTCAGACACAATGTGAGACTGTCACTTAAATCAATAAAGTAGTTGTAGACTCAACTAATCAATTAAGGCTAATGTAGGAATTAAAAGTGCTCATATATTGTAATATTTATGCTCAGTTGTCGCTCTATTGATAGAGTCTGCTAAAAATTCTAGTTTTACATAAAGCATTTAAATGGATGTTTTTTTTATTATCCAAGGACACAGACGTAGATTATATTGGTTCTGCTATAATCTAACTTGGCATGGATTAATAGGGTAATAATTTAACTCTTAGCCAAGCACAATCTTCATCTCCATTTCTAAATTATTTATAACTGGCCCAGTCAGATATACTTCCATCTGATTACCCATGAATTTCAATATATAAATAATTCAGATCAAAAATCTTTAGTTTTATATTCAAGAGTTTCATTACAGCGATTACTCAATTTTTGATATTATTCTACCACTTCTTAAAGTTTAACCAAGGCAATTGAGTTTATGAGATTTACAAAAGTTTGAAGTCTTTTCTCCAGAAATTAGAATGCCTTTGTATTTTAATGCGTTCGATTTGATATTAGAGTAACTGTATGCATATCGTACAATAGAGAAAGTATGTTATCAATATTTATTTATATTAATCTTTGACGCATATTTCAGTATGGTATAAATATGAGTTATGGTTATTGTTATCTCATTTAACCGGTCACAATTCTGTAATTGTCTCATCTATTTTAATGATACTGCTCATAAGCTCAAGATCCAATTTTGACGGAAATTGGTCAATGTAATAGATATTGTTCTGGTCTAATGTATAAGTTGATTTCCTTAGTTTTAACTAAAACTAAATGAACTTATGAAAAAAAATTTAAAATTTTATGGTTTGTTAGCTCCTAATTATTTCCAAAATAAGAATTTTAGAAAAAAATGTAGATTTTGAAAAACTATATCAGTAAAATCTTTTAGTAAGAACATGCTCAATAAAATCTGAGTTAGTTAATGTGAGGTACATTATATTTGCCATCAACTATTATTGCCCCTAAGTATGGCGCTTTTCTACGTTGTCAATTCTCTAAAATAATGAAATTTCAATGAGAAAATTCAAAAATTCAAGTCATTAAATAAATAATTTGTCTTGAAAATAAGATATGTTACTTTAAAATAATTATGATATGATTGGAACATATATTTAATTAGATATACTTGTTATAAATATATAAAATGAATCTAGTAAATAGTAATAAAATGTATAAACCTCGCCTAATAGAAATTAATTAAGAATGTAAATGTATAACCTTAATAATGAAGACCATAGTCTTTTATAGAACACGATTGTCAATTAAATATAAGTAATTAAATTACTTACACTTACATGATTCTCCATTAGCACATGAGCCATGACATTTAGAATCCGCTGGACAGGAACATGTTTTTGAATTATTCTTAGCACATGCACAAGTACCATTACATCCACATGATGACGATTCGGCAGTACCACAGGAACAACCATTTTGACATGAAGAACATGTACATTCGTTGTTGAAGTTGATTAATTCGTTGATCATTTTTGATGTAGTTTGTTTGTAAATATGTATTCTTTAGTGTTAGCCAACTGTTTCCAGTATGAAATATTTTGATATAATATAATATGCTATGATATGATGGGATGGGATGTAAATGTATAAAATAAATTAAGAAGTATAACTAAACAAGATGAATTGTAAACAAGAATCAATAAAGTTTCAGTCGTTTATATACGTTTTATTTTCTTTATTGATATTTATAACTATCAATACTCCAGATGAGGGGAGTTCCGCATGTTAAAAAGCACTATACTAAAAAAGGCATGTAGCCATTGCTAATAGAAGTGGATAGAATTCAGCAGAAACTTCTCATCTTTAAGAAACCTTCCATTGTCCAATGTGAAGAACCTAAAATAAAGAACCAGACGTTACAGCGAATAGTACTCAACTAATTTAAACTAATGATTACATTTACGTGCATCATTTAGCAAACCAAAGAACTTCTTAGTATCCAGTCTCCTACAGTTGCCTAAACTTAGTACTTTGGATTTGAGTTGTTAACGCTGACTCTTTGTCGTACCTAACTAAAAAACAAGTATTTTTTTCAAGCTGCGAGAAAGTAACAAGGAAGTGGAACCAAAAAGACCATATTTCAAACATTTTTTCTGCCAAGATCCATCTTACCATACAGCATAAAAAGAGCAAAAAGAAAGAAAAGGTGAGAGAGAGTAACACGTACTAGCAAAGAAAGTTAGACAAATTTTGACTACATTAAGTTATGTTCTTGACGTAAGATGCGCACTTATTGCTGATGGGGTGTGTCAGTAACCGCAATTCATAAATAGGCATTTGAAATTTTAATTCGATTCGTAATAAGTAGTTTGTTTGTTTTAATAATAGTGATGGAATATAGTAATAATATTTTATTCAAAGAACATGTATGTAATATGATCCATCTATGAAAACAATACCAATCGATATTCAATATACATTGCCATGTAATAATAATTACAAATAGTCAAATTTCGACTTGATACTTTTTCAAATTCTATTTGGTAGCACCGTGAATTTTATAGTCTTGGTATTTGTATACGTTTCATGATTTTGGAAAACAAAGCGTGAAACACCGAACATGAAATTTTCGAAATTCGAAACTGTATAAAACAAAAGTTAACAAACTTATTTCGAAATACCTGATCTGTCTGTGTCTATTGTTCGAACGATTCGTTATTTTATGCTGTTAATGATTTAGAATTGATTGCATTAAGGTACTTACGATTGTGCAGTATTAGATCGACGACTTGTAGATAGTGCTTAGTTTTAAAGATCGGTCTATATTTGGTTAAGGGTCCACATCATCGACACGAACAGATCAGATCATCATCCTACTATAGTTTTTACATTCTACTATCATATATTGAGAAGTCATCATGTATAGGACCAAAATAATTTCTCTTTGGATTTTGTTGTATAGCTTGTTGGCTGGTGTAGTTTATGGTGCAGGTGATAAAGATGATGGTAAAGAGGGTACAGAGCTTTTTTGTGCAGTTATGAATTCAATTACTGGTTCTTATATTGATTTATCACAATTATCATCGACACCAAATAACTCTGGGGCAAGCAAAGAAAGGAAACCAACTAGAAAGAATGCGAAGCTAGGGTATGACATGGCAAAGACAAGGTGGTTAGTGAAAGGCTGGGACTATGACCATCCTAATATGTATAGGAACTTTACAATGAGTATTTGTGGAACTGCAATTAGTAAGCAAGATGAAGAATTGTCGAGACAACTAGATAACAGTACAGGTGCTTATTATTTTGACAATATCACTGAAGAATATATCTCAATTGGTGATTTCAGTACGAAACCTGTATTGCTGGGTGACAGTAATGTTATGAACAAGAAATTAACGATGAAATATGTCAATGGGTCAATGTGTCCAAATGGTATAGACCGTAAATCTACTCTATTAAATTTTGTTTGTGATAGAGAGATTCAATCAAAGGCGTCGATTAATTTCTTGGGCAGTCTTAATGACTGTTCATATATTTTTGAAGTTAGGAGTATCTATGCATGTCCAACATCTAATCAAAAGAACGAGGTTAATGTTATAGGTATATTTTTTGGTATATTTTTCGTGTTTTTCATGGTTGAATATATCAGGAGGAAAATGACTAAAATGCTAAGTGACAATAGAATAAGCAGTGGTAACTCTTCTGCGAGACGTTCAACTTTTGGTCATGACAATAGCTTCCATCCTAGATGGGAAATAGTTGAAAGAGATTCTATTATCAAGACATTTTTTAAAACCGCCAGTGGTATCGTTACAGGTATCAGTAATAAGATATTGAACTCCAGAGCGTTCGGCAAAATTTCAGGTAATGTTCATCGAGGTAATAACAGTGGATATTATCCTGCTAACAATAGCAACACCTGGAGATTTAATGGTAACAGCGGTACCAATGCGAACCAAGGATCAAGAAATGATATTTACTCTAGTATCAGATTAACAGCGGCAACTGGACGTAGCCAAGAGTCGTTCATAAGAGATATGGAGGCACAAAATAACATACTAGACAGCCTTGAGGTTAACAGTGCCAATACTGGGCCAGGCAGCAACACCGCAGGTGATACCGATAACGAGCATATAAGTGGCAATGGCAATGGCAATGGCAGTGATAGTAATACTAATGGAACAGAGCATTAAATGCTGGATGCCAGCATATTTAAATTCATCATCCCAAACCAAGTTCCAATTTTGATCTCACAACTAAAAAGTAAAAGAAATGGGACTCTTTTCATTATAAAAAATGAACAAAATATAAAAAGCACATATAAGCATATAATCTTTAGTATAATATAGACACTAAATAAGCTTAGTTAACGTAACGATAAGAACCATGAGAGAGACATATATCAAAAACAAAGTCTTGTATAGTAAAATAGAATTAATTGCACCCACCAAATCAATCATTGCCGAGTACTGTTGTTGCTATTATTAGGTAAAGGATTGCTATTAGAGGAGATGACTCTCGATCGGATTTCGATTGATTGATGAAATTTTGTGATCTGTCTGTATTTCTCCTCTTGTCTCCTCCCCTTTAAGGTAGTAGAGTATAGTATGTACATATCATATAGTGGAACATATGAGCTCAATACGGTGCGGTGTAGCGTTGTTCCACATGTCCTCAATTTGACTAAAACAGTAGAAATAGTAGTAAAAGAGAGACAGGTAACCGACCACCCCAGTGATTTCCGAACAAATACAGCACAGAACAGCACAGTGCATAGACAAAAAAGTAAGCTATGTACATACATAGACAGATAGCTATTATAGCAACTCTGGCCATTGGCATGAAACTTTCGAGTGACTGTACCGATACCAATACCAAAACCAACACCAACACATCACCAGCTGTTGGAAATCAAGCAAAATTGAAAAACAGCTACGTCTCAGCCATTGTTCTTCCACAACACACCCATCCACCACGCGTTACCATCTCCATTGCTCTCTTACTTTGTCCTCTGAGCTCTGAGAATACAACTGAAAGCAAAACAAAACGGCAACCAGAACGCATACTGAAACTCGCTTCCACTGTGTAACGTAGAGCAGCAGCAGCAGCACCACCACCAGACATTAGTGGAAAGTAAAACGATATCAAGATAATGTCAGTACATTTATTTACCCGCTCTTACAATAGATACCGCCTGAGAGAGATACCGCATCAGCGCAAGAAAAACCAACAAAATAAGTCAATAGACGTCGTCGTCTACCTGGTGATCGATTGAACCTTTCCTTGCTGAAATTTAGTACACCTCTCTCGCTGTTTTCATGTTGTTGTTGTTTTCCACAAGCAATTTACCCACCCTGCTGCGTACATTTCTCCAGAAACGAGAACTACCTGTCTCATTTTTAATTTTCTCCCTCATCCTGTCCCAATCAATCCCCCCCCCGCCACTCGTAGCATCGCATCCAGTAAGAAAGAAGAAAGACTCTTTTTTTAAAATAACTTTTTTTTTTCTTCAAAAATTTTTCGATGTTTCTTCAGTTTTAAGAAGCATATATAAGCAAGATAATTTTTTATGGAATTTTGTGATAACTGTCAGTTTAGTCAATTTTGGATTTGAATTTGTATTTGAATTTGGATTTGGATTTGGTTTGGGAAGACTCTTCTATTCTTTTTACTGTTTCTTTTTCTTTCATGTCTTCTTTTCCCCTTCTTGTTACGGTCTTTTTTTCACTCTCGCTTTCGTTTACACGTTTTTCTCTCTTCTCTTCTCTTCTCTTCTTATCTCTTCTTATCTTATCTCCTTTTTTTGCTTAATAAGTTTTTTTCCAACTTTTGTTCTTACCCTCTCTTATCTTTCATCATCATCATCTTCTTCTTCTTCTTTTTTGGTTCTGCTCTTTTTCTCTTGCTCTTTTGTTTTCTTTCTTTCTATTTCTTCTTTT